TTCTGTGAGAGAGTTCGTTAGTTTTCTATATCTGTATCTGACCAAAAGTGACATAGCGGGGCTGAGGCTTAGAAATCTAGACTCATTTTCAAGTAGCACAATCCATATGATATGTGGCAGTTGTCTTAGTTTTAATTGCCCTTTTAAAGTTATTCATATAAATGATAATGAAAACAAAAAATGTTCCATATTATGTAGAGCCATGTGATGCGCAATTCATGTGCAGTCATACATCTGGGAATGTAACCCACAGCCTTATGTGTGCTTAGACATGTGATCTACCACTAAGCAACCTGAGACATGTGATCTACTAAGCAACAGGAGCTCCTGTTATTTCTTTATGATGAAAACATTCAATACCCTTGGTTTTTTTAATGAAATTGACAATATGTATCTTTATCTATAGTTGTCCAAAGGTTTAAATTATCTTTAGGGGATGTAAACATCACCACTTCAGAGAGGATTTTACTGGATACCCATTTGCTCTATATTATTACCTCTTTTGCGTCGACTATATTATTAGTTCTTGACCAGTATTTTTATATTTGCTTCTTAGTTTCTCTTTTCCTTCCATTTATTAAATAAATGAGTGAATGATTACTTGGGAGCATAATGTATGGGTACCTGTATGGGTTTATAAGACCACAGAGGGAAAAGGACAGTAGGTGCTTATAACTCTGTATGGCACAGTTCATTATCTGTGCATGCTGTCAAAGACATACAAAAGGGCTGGATGTTGGTGGTGCACAAATTTAATCCCAGCACTCAGAGGCAGAGGCAGGTGGATCTTTGTGAGTTTGAGGCCAACCTGGTCTACAGAGTGAGTGCCAGGACAGGCTCCAAAGCAATTCAGAGAAACCCTGTCTCGAAAAACAAAACAGCAAAAAAGACATAGGAAAGGGAGGCTGCTAGTAGCTGATCACTGAATGTCTGTGACAGAGTGTCTTACTTCTGCCTGTGTCTTGAACACCTAGGAACCATCTCTTTCATCTACGCAGACACCAAAGAAGAAGAAGAAGAAGAAAAAAAACCAAAACAAAACCCAAAAAGCCTCACTCAGTGATTGAAGCCATTGCCAATTGATTTGAATTGGGAGAAGTGAAACTGGCTGCATACCAGTGTGTCTGCATGGAGAGCCTGTTTGTACAGGTGGTCTATCTGTAGCATGAATGGAAGGTGCCTTTGTTTCTGCCACATATTTTCTGAGTAGCTTGAAGATGGTTTTTGAGCTGGTTGTGAAAGAGTAATCTTGCATTGTTAGAATTTTGTACCAAGTTTTATTTGATTTTCTTTACTTCCGAGAAGCACTGTTTGGAGTCTGGCTTATCTGGAGTGATGGCCCATGTGGAGAATTTGGACCATTTAGAGAAAGAATGCCTTTGCTGGCTATATCTGTAGAGAAATGGGAAGTTTCAGCTTACAGTTTTGCACACTGCTTCATTCACTTTGCTTATAGTACTGAAGAGAGCTCTTACTCAGAGGCTGTGGGAATATTGAGGGACTTTGTGTTCTGATCATAAGATGTAATTGCCAGGATGGATCTTACAACTTGTACTTTTAAACTAATGTCCTGTAGGGAGGAAGTATATCTGCAGTTGGAAATGAATCTGAACTGTTTCATGAAGATGAGGACAGATGATTGTTTTGGGGTTGTTTTTTTAAAAAGATAATTGGCCCAACTGTTCTGAAAGGAGGAGACAATGGTTTGCATGCTCTTGCTACTAGATTGGATGACTCTGGATGAGAGCTTTCTTGCCCCTTCCAAAGAGAGTGCTATAAAGGGCATATGGCCTAGTATGATGTGTGTGCAGTGGCAGCTGCTATAGAGAAGCATGATGTAGTAGTATATGCGTTTCCAAACAAAGAACAGTCTAGATGAAAGAATGCTTGAATATAGTTCACTTTCTGGTTTCTAAGTTACCATGAAGACATTGAAGTAGAATGTGAAACAGTCCCTATCATTCCAAACAACAGCACACCACCCAATTTTAAAGTTAAGGTATTTCCCCCTCAAAAACAAACAAAAAACAAACAACCAGACCAAACCAAACCAAACCAAACCAAAACCCAAAACCCAAAACGTATAAAATGGGTTTTCTTCAATTGGAAGACATTTGTAAGTTAGTGTCTGTCTTGGTTAGGGTTTCTATTGCTGTGAAGAGATACTGTGACCATGGCAACTCTTATAAAGAAAACATTTAATTGTGGCTCCCTTGTAGTTTCAGAGGTTCAGTCCACTATCGTCTTGGCAGGGAACATGTTGACATGCAACCAGACATGGTGCTGTCTACATCTTGGCTGGCATTCAACAAGAAGTCAACAGAGACACTGGGTGGTATCCTGAGCGTAGGAAACTTCAAAACCTGCCCCCACAGTAGCATACTTCCTCCAGAAAGGCCATACGCACTCCAACAAAGCCATACCTCCTAATAGTGCCACCCCCTATGAGATTATGGGGCCAATTACTTTCAGACTACCACAGTGTCCTTTAGAATATTGAAGGACTTTTAAATCTGATTTGCAGTCATTTATCTATTTCTGAAGTAACTTATTGTTGATTGTAAACATAGAGTTTGCTCTGCCCCTTGTAGGCCAAATGTGTTGTGGTAAAGCTATTTGTGTTCTAAATCCAGATGCAGTTAGTAGAAGACCGTATAAGGTGCTGGGAATTAAACCATGTTCTTTGTAAGAGCAGCAAGTGCTTTTAATTGATGAGCTATTTCTCTAGCCCCCTCCCCATTAAAAAATCAAGGTTGTTACTCTGTTTTAAGTATATCCCACATTTTGTTTACTCATCTTCTCATGCACTTATGGGTTCCTCTACCTCTCGGTATTTCTTTTTAAATGGTGTGGCTGTGAACATGAGTCTACAAAATCTCTTAGAATCCTTGCCTTTTTCAGTTCCTTTCGGTTTGCATCCAGAAGCATAGTTGCTTGATCATATGGAGTATTGATTCACTTTTGGCGACAGTATTAAGAGATCCGGGCCTGCAGGAGATTGATTGTCTTGCAGCTGAAGAAAGTCCAGTGACAGGAGGAGTAAATGCTTTATTAGCAGAATGTCAGTATATTGGAAGATGGGAAGTTAACACCTGACATTGTCTAGACTGGTGCTACCTAATCTAGGTTTCTAAAGTATCTTGTGTGGGTATGTTACTTTAGGCTCAGGTAAGCAGCAGGGCAGTTTGTTTAATCTCCATAAATATCCAGTTAGAGAACGTGGGGGTGAGTTCTTAGCTCAGTCCAGAGCACCTTGTCTTTGTGAATTGAAGAAAACATGATTATTCAGAGGCTTGGGTAAGGGCTGTGCATCTAGTTTCTGTCAGTGCCGGTCCTGTTCTGTATTGACAATTGCCTCGTCATTTTGACTGTCTTTGTGGCCATGGAATGTGTGGGTAGTACATGGGGAGGAGGTCAGTGCTTTCTGTTTCTTACTTTCTTGCTGGGGATCAAACCCAGTCCTTTACAAAACTGGGTGAATGCTCTTTACTAAGTGACATCTCTGGTCCTAGGTCCTGCCCACTTTGTTAGCAGTTTACTGAAGTGCCAGTTTATATACCATAAAATTCATCAGTTTTAGATGTACAAATCAGCGATTTCAACAAATTGTCTGAGTTGCACAGCCGTGGCATACATCTCTCTAACATTTGAAGATCTCTTATGCCCACTTCATTCCTAGTCCCTCCTCCAGATAACCAGTAATCTACTTTCTTTCCGTTTTCTGGATGTATTGTGAAGATGAAATCATAATATATATGAATTTTTGTGTTTGGATTTGGTTTTCTTTTTAAAAAGGATTTCACTGTGTAACCCAGGTAATCTTGAACTCATGATCTTCCCGCCTCAGTTACCTGAGTGAGTCTTGATTACAGGTCGATTGCAGTGTAACTCAGTGTGGCCCTGGACTTTTGATCCTCCTGCCTCACCTTTCTGTGTCAAGATGGGATTACAGGTGTGTGTCATCAAGCCTAGTAACATTTTCTAAATTTTAAATTTTTTCTTAGTAGCTGTTTTAGTGTGTGTGTGTGTGTGTGTGTATGATAGTGGCTCTGTGATTGGAATTTGCACTTCTCTAATGAATAGCAATGGGAAACATGTTTGTGAGCTTGTGCGTATGTGGCACTTCATGACCATATGCCTTTTTTTTTTTTTTTTTTTTTTTTTGGTTTTACGAGACAGGGTTTCTCTGTTTTGGAGGCTGTCGGTCCAGCCTGGCCTCGAACTCACAGAGATCCGCCTGCCTCTGCCTCCCGAGTGCTGGGATTAAAGGCGTGCGCCACCACCGCCCGGCGACCATATGCCATTTTGATAGCACTAGGTTTTGTTGCTGTGCTTCTTGAGATAAGGGATCACTGTGTAGCTGGTTACTAACTATGTGGACCAGACTAGCTTTGAACTCAAGAGATCCATATATTGTTTAGGTCAGTCTCATGCAGGCGTCCTGGTTGTTGGTTCAGTCTCTGTGAGCCCCTATGAGCCCTGGTTAGTTGATTGTGTGAGTGAGTCTTCCTTTGGTGTGCTTGACCCCAATGGCTCCCACACTCCTTTCTCCTCCTCCTCCTCTGCAGGAATCTCAAACTCTCTAATCTCCCTAATGTTTGGCTGTGTGTCTCTGCATATATGTGACAGCTGTGTAGCTTGGTCTTCTTGTGGGACTCTTGACAGTGAGGAGCAGGTGCTGTCTCCTACTATTTTGCTGACTTTTTGACCCTATCCTTATACCGGGTTACCTGCCCAGCACTAACACATGGGAAATGCTTAGTCTTATTGCAACTTGATATGTGATATTTATTGATACTCTCATAGGAGATGCACCCTTTCCTAGATGGAGATGGAAGAGGACGGTATTGGGGGTGGGTGTAGGGAGGCTTCGGTCAGGGTGTAAAATAAATAGATGAATAAAAAATGGGTACAAATGCAATTTTAATACTACAAGATTATAGGATGTTATGTCTCTTTATTATTGATTAATCTAACTTGAAATGTTTTATTTTGTTTAGTCAGGTCAATTCAGTGAAGATATGATACCCACGGTGGGCTTCAACATGAGGAAGGTAACTAAAGGTAACGTCACAATAAAGGTATGTTGGCGTCTCATACTCTATACATTTTTGTGTTTATGTATTCATGCATGTATGTGTTTATATATGGATGCATGCATGTATGTATTGCCCCGTTCCTCTCTTTATACTTGATTTAAATTGTAATCAAAGAATTTTCTGTTCCTCTGTTTTTACCTGCTATTTATAATTCTCAAGTAATGGTTGGATTGTTCCAAACGACTGTAGGTCAGTTATTTATGTTTTCTGATAGGTTAAAGTGTTTTAAAAGTTGAAATGTAGCTAAGTGTCCATAAAAATCAACTAGCCATGTGGGCTAGTAGAAGTAATATTTGAATTTGATATCTTGAGAATTCAGACAATAACAGTTCCATCTTCAGTCTGAACAATGTTGTATATTGAAAGGTGGTAATTACTTATGATAATATCATTTTAGTATATTTGTGGTAGCAAATATCGTAATCCAATTTTTTCTGTTCTTCATTATTAAACCTAAAGTGGAAGCTAAAATAGGAAAAGTGTAACTCATTTTTATCATAATTTCTTTTTAGCTCCTGGACTGTAGGAATGATAGGCGATTTAACTTTTTCTTGTTACCCTGGTTTTCATTCTGTAATTCTACGAGTTTGCCTCTAGCCTGAACCACGTGAACATTTTACCCAGTTCTTGTTGATAGATCTGCTTGCTAAGTTCTCTCTGGGGCTTTTCTGATGACACTTCTCTTTTTTTCTTTTGCTTGTGTGCCTTTATGCGTTTTACCAATGTCAGTGCTTAAGTTGGAAACTGCTTTAAAGAAAGTCACAAACTTAGAAGTTTTTGTAGCCATATGCAGTACAAAACAGTGAAATTATTATGGAGAACTCCAAGGGAAGTAATGTTGATTCTATTATTTACAGAGTAATTTAAGAAGACACACTTAAAAGTTTAGGAGGTCCTGAACTGTTTTTTTTTTTTTTTTTTCTTGTCTTGGCATCTAACTCTGGATGTTTCATGTTTTTGTAGATGTTAAAGTTGTTATTATTTTAAAGTTATATATATCCATGATTAGAAATGTATTGGCAGTAATTAATTATCACACTGTCATATTTAGCCAAGTCATTGCTCAAGCAGAACTTTAGATATAGCATTCACATATTTAGAATTTCAAGTTGGGAAGGGTCCTCAAGATTTCACAGATTGAGTTTGGGTTTGAGGCTTTAGGAGTACTCTGGTTCGGTAACATTTGACATGTTTGTGACTGTCTCCACTTCTGGTAGTACCTTCATCAATGACTGCTTGAAATGTTCTTATTAAGAATTGCCTTGTTTTGATTACAGATCTGGGACATAGGAGGACAACCCCGGTTCCGGAGCATGTGGGAGCGGTATTGCAGAGGAGTCAATGCTATTGTGTAAGTTGGTGTGGGCTGTTTTTTTATTTTCTTCTTTTAGTCTGTCAGTTTAGTCTTGAAAGAAGAAAAAAAAAAACATTTTTAATGCTTCCAAAGGTAGACTTAATTATCTGACAGTAATTGTTTTTCCTAGCTAATATCTCAGTATAATTCCATTAACATGGGCTTTTTTAAAACAATCATAGAATAAGGGTTTTGTTTATTGATTTCTTTATTCAGCTGAGTTCTGTGCTGCATGTCTTCCTAAGTATAGCATCTACTAATGAGTCTGTGAATAATGTAGTTGAAAGTATTTATTCACACTAATGTAGGACTTAATTTCTTTTGATTAGCAGTTTCAGTATTGTAAATATTAAGAAAACTTAGGATGTATAATCCTAGTTCATTGAGATTCATAGAGATGGCATGTTGATATCTCTTTGTTTTTTAAGTTACATGATAGATGCTGCAGATCGTGAAAAGATAGAAGCCTCTCGAAATGAGCTCCATAATCTTCTAGATAAACCACAGTTACAAGGAATTCCGGTTAGTTTGGAGAACCTGGTATTTTGTATTTGCAATTATATATTTAACATTGAACCAGTCTTGGTTTTAGGATCCCCACTCCCCACAAGAATGGAGATCTGAAGGTTCTTAAGATCTTTTTCATTTTTCCTTCCTTCCTTCCTTCCTTCCTTCCTTCCTTCCTTCCTTCCTTCTTTTTTTTTTTTTTTTTTTTGAGATTAAGCTTCATGATATAGCCTGGGATGGCCTCAAACTTGTGATCCTGTTACCTCAGTCTCCCAAGTGTTGGGATTATAGGAGTCTGCTACCATACTTGGCTTCTCAGGTTCTTTGTGGAAAACGGTATAGTATTCATATGCAAATTACATATGTTCTTCCATGTGCTTTGGATTATATTTAGATTACTAACAATACTTAATACAACAGACGTGCTTTATAATAGTTGTTGACTGGCCAGGCCATGGTGGTGAATGCTTCTAATCCCAGCACTCGGGAGGCAGAGGCAGGTGAATCTCTGTGAGTTCGAGGCCAGCCTGGTCTTCAAAGAGAGTTCTGGGACAGTCTCCAAACTTATCTGTCTCGAAAAACCAAAAACCAACAACAACAACAAAAAATGTTGACTGTGCTGTTTAGGGAATGATGGCAAAGGGAAGATTGTACATACATTCTCAGTGAGGTTATGGCCTCCCTGCATGTTTTTGCTTTTTGAGATAGATTTCTCTGTATAGCTCAGGCTGGCCTCAAACTGGATATCATTCCACTTCAGTTCCCAAGCACTAGAAGAATTAAAGTTCTGAGTCTCCTGCCTGGCTTCTCATGTGTTTTTGATGTGCAGATGGTTGGACATTGGCATGGAGCCTGTGGGTCTAGAGGGCTGCTAATTCCATTTGAAATTAGTAAAATGTCTTCTTTTTTTAAAGGTTAAAAGTACTTTGGCTCCAACATTGTGAAATTGAGAAATTGAACTGAATTTTTATCTTTCTGATCTTTCTCTGCTACTTACGGTATTTCCTCATGTATTGGATTATTTGAAATACTTTTGTTAAGAATTGTTTGTCTCAGCTGGTTGTGGTTGCTTTTAGCTATAATTCTTGTGCTTGCAAGCCTGTGTTGTTGTTGTTACTGTTTTATTTTACTCTTTTGGGGGTCTGCTAAATAAATACATGAAATCTTATTCTTTCTTATCAGCGCCAGGCTTTAGCTTGCCATGTTTCTGGCTGCCTTTTCTTAAATTAGTCCATCTACCTTTTGCCTCTGGGCTTTTATCTTTCTCTATTTCTGTACACCTTTTTTTCCTTCTTACTCTATAGCTTGCTGTGTAGTTGGTTGGCTGGTTCCTGATGTCCTCCTTTTCTTTTCTTGTTCCTGGATCTCTTCTCCCAAGATTTCTCCTCCCATTTATTCTCTCTGCCTGCCAGCTCTGCCCGTTTTTTCTCCTGCCTTCCTATTGGCCGTTTGGCTCTTTATTAGACTAATCAGATGTTTTAGACAGGCAAAAGTGACAGAGCTTCACAGAGTTAAACGAATGCAACATGAAAGAATGCAACACATCTTTGTATCATTAAACAAATGTTTCATAGCATAAACAAATGTGGCATATCTTCAAATAATATTCCACAGCAACAATATATTTTGTTCATATTTCTGATCCACTCCTCCCCCTAATTTCTCTGTGGTCCAACCTCATCCAACTTTGTGCCCTCTTTAAAAAAGACTTTTTATGATCCACTGTCCTGTTTATGTTGCCATATTCTTATGGGTGTGGGACCATTCGTTTAACTGGGGCCACACATTTAAAGAGTGCTGACTCTCCTCTCCCTCCTCCAGAAGCCAGTAACTCTACTAGCTCCTGAAAACCTGGGGGGAAATATCAGTTATCTCCATATTTGTATTTGATTGACACAGATAAACTTTAGCTGTGAAGATTTTTTTTTTAAATAGCTCTGACTATCCTGAACTAAATATGTAGATGAGACTAGCCTCAAACTCACAGGTTCAGCTACCTCAGCCTCATTTGTGTGCAACTGTGAAGATACTTACATTTTGGTTATGGTTTTCTAGGAATCCTCTGATTGTACATCATAGTCTTACAATTATTTTTTTAGTGTTGGGGATTAAGCCATTGGACATGCATATGTGCCATGACTTATGTTTGGAGGTCAGAGGATTCCACAACTACCATGTGAGTCGTAGGGATTAAACTCACGTCATTAGCCTTTCCATATTGAGCCATCTCTCAGCTCCTAGAATATCTTAGACTATTTTCAATACAAGTTGGCCACAGACTGAATTGAGGCTGCCTTTATGGTAGGAGTTATGCAATACCAGGATAAATTCATGAATAAAATTGGCTACCAGTCACGCAAGTGTATTGTTTTTGGTTTTTCGAGACAGGGTTTCTCTGTGGCTTTGGAGGCTGTCCTGGAACTAGTTCTTGTAGATAAGGCTGGTCTCGAACTCACAGAGATCCACTACCTCTGCCTCCCGAGTGCTGGAATTAAAGGCGTGCGCCACCACCGCTTGGTTTCAGGTGTATTTTTATTTATTTATATTTCTCAAGTGCACTTTATAATTAAGGTATATGATAACATGAAAGTAGTTTTGGAATATTTAGATACTACTTTGTGTTTCTGTGATCTTTTATACATAAGATTTACCCGTATCTTCTTTTTAAAGGTACTAGTACTTGGAAACAAGAGAGATCTTCCAAATGCCTTGGATGAAAAACAGCTAATTGAAAAAATGTAGGTCCTAAGAAGAGTAATGTTGAGAAGCTTGTTGGTAAATTATAGACTGTCCTCCATTTTGTAGGCATAATTACGTTATTTACTAATGATTATACCTTGCTCTTAGATTGGATAAACTGGGGCAACCAGCGACATAAATCTCTAAAATTTTATTCATGGGAAAATATTCTTTTGAATAGTAATGAAAATAAGTGAAACTGAGTAAAGAGTAAAGTATGACAGCTGCCATTTTTATCATTTCTGTTTCTTACAGGAACCTGTCTGCTATTCAGGATAGAGAAATTTGCTGCTATTCAATTTCTTGCAAAGAAAAGGATAATATAGGTAAGAAATGACTGCTGTTTTGGAAGAGATGAGGATGCCATGTTTTTTTCCATACTGTAGTGAGTGGGGACTTTGTTAGGGCTTTGTTTTATTTGGATACTTTGGGAGGAGAATTAATCTTTTATTACTGTCAAGAACTGGCCAGATGATTTTCTAAAGGAACAACAACAAAAAAATGTCAGCTGGACAGGTAGATACCTGTCATCCTGGGTTTTGGGAAGCTGAGGCAGGAGGATTGCTATGAGTTTGAGGTCTGCCTGGACTACATGGAGAGTGCTAGGGCAACTATGGCTTGGTAGCAGGACCCTATCCTAAAAAGAGGGGTGGGGCTAGGGAGATGAGAGAAAGTCAGTCTTGGGTTCATTAATTCAAGGCTACAAGGGATTCAGCAGTGGTGGTGAGACTTGGTTAGTGTTTGAGGCTAATCATGGCTTGCTAGGGTACACTAATTTATAATTTCAGTACTTCATGTGCAGTGTTACTGAGGCTAAGGAAAACCACTATCATTTCACTAGATTTAAACTGAGCATTAATAAATTGCTTCAAAATTTTAAGTGTACATGGTTTCATGTGTTTGTTTTACTGTCCCGTTCATGTAGCAGGGGAAGTGTCTTGATCTGAGGAAGATGTCCTGGAACCACATGAGGAGTGTTTATTTCTTGTGACCCCATGACTCTAGAATCTTGTCTTTCTGCATTTTTGTCTGGTCTTGAGGACTCGCTTTTCTTTGGGATCTTAGCTTCTTTCCATTGGCCGTAGAGGATAGGCTTCTTCTTTTTTAAGTTTCTTAAGTATGAAAATGTGGTCATTTTCCTTTCCCCGTCTGATTTCACCCTGTGTATTAAAAGATGTACATTAGTTTCCTGAGTTATAAAATCATTGTTTTCCCAGCTGTGAACAGTCACTTTTGTTCAGGTCCTGGCCCTACTCTGTCCTTGGTAGGTGTGATCTGTAATTTCTCTATTGTGTTTTAGTTGGGAAAATGGATTCAGATCTTTAGAACGGAAATGCCTGATGTCAAATCCTCTAGAACTTGAGATATGAGCCACTTGGGAAGCAAGCCAGCTGTGCCTGGGCATGGTGGCACATGCCTTTTTTTTTTTGTTTTGTTTTGTTTTGTTTTTTTTTTGGTTTTTCAAGACAGGGTTTCTCTGTGGCTTTGGAGGCTGTCCTGGAACTAGCTCTTGTAGACCAGGCTGGCCTCGAACTCACAGAGATCCTCCTGCCTCTGCCTCCCGAGTGCTGGGATTAAAGGCGTGTGCCACCAACACCCGGCTGGCACATGCCTTTAGTCATGGTGTTTAGGAGGCAGGTGGCCTCTGTGAATGTGAGGCTAGACAGGCCAGAAGATTCTTTTTCACCTACTCCCTGTAGTCATACGTGCATCTTCTCTGTACACTGTGTTTGGATTGCGTCAGGTTTTCATTCCTTTCTGTCCCGTCCAGTTGGGCAGAGTCAGTCTGCATCGTGCAGCCCTCCAGGTTGTAATGTTGGACTTGCCGGCTTGCTAACATTTCAAGTTCTCCAGTAATTCCCTTAGAATTATTAGAATAAAGTCCTAACTTGCTAGCACTACCGTATTTATTGAGCACGACTCAAACCTTGTGCTCCCTAGGAGACATTGTTTTTAAATTAATTTTTAGTGCAAAAGAAATGGGTTTCATTATGACAGTTGCATGCACAAAAGTCATACTTTGCTCATATTCTTTCCTCTCTTTTGTTCCCACCTTGGTCCTGCTGAGCTCACTCTTCCCCGGACAGTTCCCATACCTCTGCTTTTATGGTTTTTTGTTTTGTTTTTGGTGCGTATATGCTTGTGTGAAATATGTGCAGATACTGTAATTTTGTTCTTTATGGCTGAATACAACTCCCTCAAGATATTTTGGTTGTCATGGTGGGGCTGGCACATAGTTGTTAAGGCCATGGATGTTCTAAACCATTCTGTGAGGCACAGGAAAGGTTCACCTCATGAAGTGAGAATTAGTCAACTCCAGATGCCACAAAGTTATAAAGCCGTGGTTTAGGTGTCTAGTTCCACAGCAACTGGGAACTACATTTTCCTTGTGTCTTAGCCACATCTTAGCAGCCGCTCATGTTCTGCAGGGGGGCATGCCTTCTGAGACTGTGGTTTCCCTTGTCTGCCAGTCTCTGTGTGACATCAAAGCCCAGATGATTAATTCTACCTTTATTAGTATAGTTACAAGTTTCTTGAGGTCAGAGAGTCCTTCCATTGCCTTCCTGGCGTTTAGCTCCTGATCTGATGGGCAGTAAGTAAAGGTACCAAATCATGTTCAGTATCTGATAGTTTCTCACATTGTCCTCTTGAAGCTCTGGTGATGGAGTTCAGATTCAGAAGAGACCTAGCATCTTGGACAGTTTAAGTATTGTCTGTGTATTTAGTTTTGTAATGCTGATTTCTTAACTCTCACTTTCCCTGCCTTTAGATATCACACTTCAGTGGCTTATTCAACACTCAAAATCCCGAAGAAGCTGAGACATCTGACGTCTTCCAGTCCTTCTTGGCTATAATCCTAGAACTACTGTCCGTTCCTCTGAAGTACTTCCCAGAACATGGTCCTTCCTAAACCCAAGAAATTGCCTTTCTCAGAGTTTATTTCTCATGTGCACTGCTGAAGATGTATATTCCTATCCTTCATAACAAATCAGCTGGAGTTGTCATGATAAAGTCAGCACACACTAAAAGGCTTCACACACTTGTCTAGTGTGTAGAGGCCTCTTTCCTTTCTTTCTTAAAAAAAAAAAAACCCACATTTTTGACCATCTTAAATTAAGAAAATTGCATATTACCATTCTGGTCTTTCTGGGCCAGATTTTTGTATTGGTTTTCAGTAAATGTCTACCTATTTCGTTATTGAGTCCAGTAGCTTATACTGGTACTGACTTGATACAGCATGGAATTGCTAGTGCCACACACAGTATTTAGAAAAACTTCCAAGCCTGACTCATGTGGGATATGAACATGTAATGTTTATCCTATCTCACATATGCATGTGAAATGTAGACTTACAACGTAGGAATAATTGGTCTGCCAAGAGTTAGCAGAGGCACCAGGTTAGCACAGTGAGACCCTTACACTGGAGACTTCCTACCTGGTAAATTTAAACATTCTGCTTTCTGAGACTCCTCTGTCAACCAGATAGCATTTGGGAAGATGGGAAGAGTTACAGCATGCTCTTTAGTATCTGTCCAGATCATTAGTTTTTTTTCCCCTTTTAACACCGTTTTTTAAAGGGATGGGAATTGAAGATTTTTTTCAAACGTTTTCATGAATTTAGAGCATTCCAGCTAGTGTAATAAAACCCGTTAAGAATGTCTGACTTTGTGTGAACACACGTCTGTCCTTTGTCTCCAGTCACCCACCCTGTGCTTCTGCATGACACCCTTAACTCCTGACTTTTTATATCTAGTCATGAAGTTGACTTTCAGCACAAAGGATACTTACAAATTCTTATTTTATTCTTACCATTGTAAGGTTTGGCACTCTTTTCACTGGTGCCACTAGACTTCTTGATTGTGACAACTCTAGACCTGCCTGCTTAATCTAATCATGCGCAACGTCTACAGGTTGTTTGATCGGCCATGGAGAGAACCGAGGAACCAATACTGTTTATTGTTTGCTTCTATGATACAGAGCTATACAAAAACTTCGAACGATCATATTTTATAGCTTAGTGATCTCCACGTACATAAAGGGACATATTAATACTGGTTCACCTGTAAAATGTTACTCATGCCGATGTAGTGATAAAACCTTGTGCTTACATCTGCTTATGTGTTGCCTCACACTGTGTGTGACTTGTCTCTTCTGTTAAGCAGCTCTTACGTCGACAGTACATATTCTGATGTGTTGAGCACTCCAAGTGTAGTCAGCAGTAAGTTCTTTTAATGAATACTGTTTTCATTTATAGACTGCCATGGCCTTAAAAATATTCTGTACAAATAACTGCACTGTGTTGCACAGACACTACTTGTTTTCTCCATTCACATTTTTAATGAGAATCTGAGCTTTAAAATTCTCTTTTCTTTATGGAAGCATGTTGCACTCTTCCCAGAGGATGGGATGGGTGGTTTGAATGAAGGGTTATTTAAACTTGCTCATGTAGCCCAACACGAGTAATGGTCACTGCGAACCATTTCAAAGAATGTGGCAACTTGCTTGTGCCTAAAAGGAGGAACTGGAACCAGAATGTATGACTAAGTGGGGACTGCATAGGTTTTTGTTAATTGACCTATAGCTAAACCTTAATGTGTTTGTGTGTCTTTTCATTGCTTTCCAGCATTTCAGGACATCTAAAAGCTACTACCAACATTTTCCTGTGCATAACCTCTGCATGTGAAAACTAACAGTTACTGAACTTTGTAAATACGTAAATTTTTTTATTTAGGTCTGGATGCATTTTTTTGTCTGTTTACTGCTCTTCTCAGCTTTATTCAATAAACTTGCATTTTGAGGGTTGCATTGACAATTGTACCTTAAAATGTGCATCGTGATGAAAGGTACAGATCTTTGGAATGGAGTGGAAAGACAATTACCTGAAAAGGGCTCCACCGACCATGTGCTGGAAAGAAGCTATCATCTCAGCTGCAAAGGACTGGGTTAGTGGGATGAACCAGGAATAAATTTCTACAATATCCACGAACTGATACTATGATCCCCTCCTTTCTCTCTTGTTTGGAGAGGAGCTTTTATTACTAAACTGCAGTGGCACTTAGTGTATGGGCACTGAGAATTGAGCCTCACCATTGCTAGGCAGACACTCTGATGCCACCGAGCCAATACCCTCTCTGCTCTATCCCCAAATTTAGGTGGTAGGAACTAGTAAAGAATTTTATTGTCCAATTTATTTAAAAAATGTATACTGCCAGGAAGTAAACCTGGGCTCTTGCATATTCTAGGAAAGCCCTCCACCACTGAGCTACATCCCAGCTTCTAAAAGAAAAAAAAATCAAAGCCCTAATTAAGAAACTGAAATTCCAAGACATGTCTACTTCAGAGTGCATATATTTTCATGCTTAAACATGCAGGGACGGCTTAATGTGTGAAACGTACTAAATTAGAGCTGGGGTCCCTAGCAATAGATGTTAGACCTGTGTGGTAGCTTATCTAATCCCGTGACTGGAGAGGAGGGGAGCATCAATGTGTCCCACTGGACTAGCTGAGTCAGTGAGATCTGGGTCTATCTGAGAGACACTGCCTCAACGTATATGGTAGAAAATGATTGAGGAAGATACCCAGCATAAACCTTTGGGTTCCAAGTACACACATCTCCACACCCCTGAACGTGGGACTGTACACAGACATGCAAGCCATACATACACATGAAGAAATAAAAATGTTGACTTTTCTATAAAGTCCCATTTTTAGAGCAAGGTATTTGGCCCATTTTGCTAAAATGTTATCATTTGAACTGTAAAATATATTGTTGTTTTTTTTTTTAAATGAGAGCCATTGTAGAAATGGTTTTAGTTAAGTTAGGCAGACTTTCTCTGTATATACTGTCATTCTGTATTACTAATTGGGTGTGTGATTTGGCATTTCTATCACAAGGTTTTATTTTGTGAAATTGGTAGTAGCAAGTAATGTTAAGTCTGAATAGGGCTGGGGAGGACATTCAAAGTACACATTTAGCTTAGTTAAAAAAATGGAGAATTTATTAGTGTCTTTGTTTATTTTCAGACAAGGTTTTGCTTTGTAGCCCAGACTGGAGTCAAACTCAAGATCCTCCTTCCTCACCTCTTGAGTGTTGGAATGATGGGTATATGGCTAAAATAAGAGATGTCTATAAAATTTAGTCTTCGACTATGATACATAAATTGGGTGTTTTGGACCATGACTGCTTTAGTGTACTTTATTTTTGGCTGAGAAAGTGATTTCCTTTTGTATCTACAGTTGAATCAGGTTGATTTGGTAATTACAGCCTATCAGAAAGTCTGGAGGGTGGAAACTTAAATGAGGTATAGAAGGTATCAATCTGTAATAACATCCTGTTGGCAAGTGCTTTACTTTGAAAATATGCCATTGTGAGGAAACCATCATGTTCGTTGTTTAGAATATTTACGTTTTTGTGGAAAACTGAATGTCCTTCCTCTAACAGTGCACCATTGAGTCAGGAAACTTGGGAAAGAAAACAGTCATGCAAATAGTAGCTTCCTCTAAGTTTGCTGTTCCACAAGTTGGCAACCCACAGCAGGTGTTTCCTGTTAGTAAATAACCTCTGCAGATTTTTGTTTAAAATTGAGCTATTAATAAAAGTGGTGTCCTTGTCATTGATGCTTCTTCCATTTTCTTAGGGAAACAAGTCACTGACATTCTAGATAGTATGCAATGAGTAAACTCTTAATCTAAGCAATATCAGAAGTCATCCATTACGCCATTTCATTAACAAGGTCTCACTTGCAGGATAATCCATTTTAAAACAGAATTACCACACTTAGGTAATGTAGATATCCCAGCAGGAATCAGGAGGAAAGAAAGATACCCCGACCTCATTTTGCTGGGCCTTACAAGACGTGTCAGTAAAAGGAAGTGATGTGGGGAAGAGGTCTTAGTTTAACATGCTGACGTAACCTGCTTATGAAAAGAGTGTCAGATTGGCACTTTGGACAATGCTTCCTCTTTTTTGTTATTAACTAGTGGTATCCCTGGTAAGTTTCTGAAGTCCTATCTTTCCAATCTACTGAATGAGGAGGATTTCTAACCCAGCTTCTTAAGAAGGAGTGATTCTGTCAGATTAGAGATTTGGACAGTAGCTACAGCAGACACACAATGCCCACTTGCCTAGTGACTAAGTGTTTTATGTGCCATCTACTTGAAAATACAGATATCTTTACCCCCACCCAACTTAGTTTTAATATAGTGAAGGGCTAGTCATAACAATTTACAGAATGATGTAACAACTCAGATTTGAAGGAGGTGCTATTAAAACAAAGGCTCACATTTGGGAAGGCATTTATAGTTGCAGGTGATTTTACTTTGTCAACTGAGGAAATGTATGCCTATTAAGAATTTTGGGCTAAGCTTTTTAGAACTAACATATAATACTTCATAGCTACTGTAGGCTCAGCAACAATTTATTTCAGCTTTTGAGAAACCTGGAACACTTGGGAAATACTTCCTTTCAAACTAAGGGAGGGATAGAGAGCCAAGCAGACCTCTCTCAGCCTTTGCTGTTGACATGGGGCAGAGAATGCCAGTCATTATTGTATCTCCCTCCCCTTCTTCTCATCTCCAACAGTGGTCTGCCCTCAGTTGTTACACAATATATCCCACACAATGGGTTAGTTTGTTTCTGTGTTTTGTAATTTCATTTCTATTCACATTCTGCAAAGAGAGATTCAAATTCCTTTTGTTTGCCATACCATTTGCTATAGTTCACAGACAGATGAGTATTAAGGTGATTTTTCTTTGTGACAGTGTAAGTAATGAGCTGGAGGTCTGGTACACACATAATGTCACTTCTTCATGGGTAGGTGCCACATTTGGGATAGCAGTTAAAACTGGCTGAGAGAAAGAAAGTTCACGACTGCTATTTATTTTTTGGAAAGTGGAGACATGATGCTGCTCAGGCTAGTTTTAGCCTTTTGGTCTCAAAGACATCCTCCTGTCTTGGCATCCTCAGTTAATAAGTTAACTTTTTTTTTTTTTGAGATGGGGGTCTCACTATGTATCCCTGACTTTCTGATATAAAGACCAGGCTGCCTGGACCTCACAGGAATCTTCCTGCCTCTGACTCTCAAGTGCTGGGATTAAAGGCGTGAGCCTCCACAGTTGGCTGAGTAAGTTAACTTTTAATAGACAAAGACCCTTGTTTCCACAAGACTAATATTATCTTGGTCCCACCCACATAAAGGTAACTTCTGTCTGGTGGCATACCAGTTTCTCTTATTTTTTTTCCATACAAAATAGTCTCATTAGTAGGGCCAGCTGTGAGTATAGCACTGTTGCAAGTGCCTTATGTGAGTGTATGAGAGTTTGTGGTAAGTACTGTTCTTAAAATGGGGGATTTCTTTTCTTTTTTTTTTTTTTTTGCAGCTAAGGAAACAGGTGCAGAAACTAACTTAGCAAGGTTACTCAGCAAGACTGGATTCTCAGCTGTCTCTTCTTGAGAGCTGCACAGTAAAGCTGTCCTTAAAATGAAAGTGATGTCTTCTCATGCCATTCCCGTGATGCTCTTGTGAGAATGTATTTGGAAAATTCTACCACCAACTTTTTCTTAAATAATGTTTTATTAGCTAGGTGTGGTGGTTCAAACCTGTAATTGGAAGCTGAGGCAGGAGGATCGCAAATTGGAAGTAAACAAATTAGACAGTCAGATCCTAGTTCAGAACTGTTTTTAAGGATGGATTTTCTGCTTAGATACAGATGTGTCAGTTTCATCAGTTACATTCAATCTGAGAAGTTCTCGTCTAAAGGGCCAGTCACAGACACTCCACTTTCAGAGGTTTCCACAAAGATAAAAGTGGGAATACATGATAGTGTCCCCAAAACCTATTCTGACACCTGTTGTCACTTGTGCCATGAAAAGCATTTTTCGTAAGTTGGCTGGTTTTCTTTAGTTTTTAAGACTCATATTTTAAAATTAGGGCTTATTTTTTTGTAATGTGAGAACAGGTGCTGTCATCGGTGTGGCTGACAGCTGACTAGAATGAATGCAAGATAAATTTAAGCTAAAATTTGCACAAAAGTAGTTTAACAAAACATATCTTAATGTTCACATTCAGTTTATGCCAGCTCTGGGGAGGTAGAATCTAACCGTTCATGGTCAAGAGCTGGAGTAGGACTTCCGGAACTCTCCCCAGGCACCTCCCTCCCTCCTCCCCTCCCTCTCTTTCTACCCCCGCCCCCACCTTTGTAAACTGCTTGGGCCTTTGACTCTCCCAAAATAAACTCTTAACCCAAAGAACTGTGCTGTTCGCTGGCTGCTCTATTGTACTCAATGGCACTTCAGGAACTCCTTTGGCCCCAAAAGTGGAATGAGAATGTCACACGCGATTTACCTAAATCATCCCCATCACTGCCTTGATGATTGGTGACATGAACCAGTGATGTGGTTGCTTCCCCTACTTTTTAAGTTTGATAGACACACGGTGTAAACTTAGGGAAAGCAAAACTGATAGGTGCACCAAGTGTCGAGTGTTTACACGAAAGCCACAGTCCTTAAGAGATACAATACGTAACCTGCTTAATTATAGGAATTAGGGTTTAAAAAGATTATACCCCAAATCTGCCCTACATTTCCTAGGTCGCTGTTGCCTTACACTGTAGAGATGGTGGGAGGGTCAAGAAAGTGAGTTATTTAAATAGTTCTAATGAAAATGGTTTGGCGTTAGACCCACCTCCCGCCCTGTTGGGATAGGACGGGATCTCGGAGTATTTTAGAAGTATCAAGATGATTCTTCAAGTTAAGGCGTTCCAATAAAAAACCCGATGGGGTATTGTACAGTCTGAGACGTAGGGAGTCCCACTCCCACCCAAGTTAAGAAATCTTTCCTGGATATGCACAGGCATCTTCTTTGCCTAATGGCCCAGGCTCTTAACTTTCTCACCCCTTCTACCCCAGATCTGGAGTAGAGAGTCCCATCCAACCTCAGACCAATAAACATTCCAGGAGCATCATTTACCCGAGTAAGGGAGGGTCAGGGGCCGCGTCGGTGACCGCGCTTGGAGCTCCCGTGCTGCGTTCCCATTGGTTGGAAGTTCTCTCTCCCTAAGCTAAAGCGACCTAGGCTCGCCACGCAAGCCCGACCTGACTCGGATCCGCCCAGGGGGCGTGGTCCTGAGGCGGGGCGGAGCCTTGCGATACGGGTGACCTATAGAGCGGGAGGGAGTCCCGGGCCGCGCCCCTCGAGGCCGACCCCGGCGAGGCCAATCCCGGGCGGCCGGCGGTCGAACGTGGGGCCTGGCGGGTCGGGCCGGGCCGGGCCGGGCCGCGGGGCGGGGGACAATGGGCCAGTTCCTGGTGCGTCACGAGGGAGTTCCTTAAAGGGGAAGTGAGCGGGCTCCCGGGCGGACGCGCGGGGCGGCGGTCGGCTGGGGACGCGCCCGGCCCTTCAAAATAATGCCCGCGGCAGCCGCGCGACCATGCAATGGCGAGCGCTCGTCCTGGGGCTGGTGCTGCTGCGCCTTGGCCTCCATGCGGTGCTCTGGCTGGTCTTCGGGCTGGGGCCCAGCATGGGCTTCTACCAGCGCTTTCCGCTCAGCTTCGGCTTCCAGCGCTTGAGGGGCCTCGACGGCTCGGAGCCGGTGGGTCCGCCCGGAGGCCCGGCCTGGCTGCATCGGCCAAGACGCGGGACGGAGGAGCGGCTCGAGACCCCGCCGGGGCCGGAGTCGGGGTCGGGACCCGGCATGTGCGGCCCGGCGCACTGGGGCTACGCTCTGGGCGGCCGCGGCTGCGGCCCGGACGAGTACGAGCGGCGCTACAGCGGCGCCTTCCCGCCGCAGCTGCGTGCCCAGATGCGCGACCTGGCGCGGGGCATGTTCGTCTTCGGCTACGACAACTACATGGCGCACGCCTTTCCGCAGGACGAGCTCAACCCCATCTACTGCCGCGGCCGGGGGCCGGACCGCGGGGACCCGTGAGTAGCCCAAGCCCGCCGGACGCCCCGCACGTCGCCTTCCGCCCCTCCGGGTCCCCTAGGGGATATACCAGGGTCTTTAAGGTCCGCCGCAGTCCGAGGTTCCCCCTCCCCGCCGCCCGGTGTACTGCTGTCCTCTTGATTCTCCCGGACCCTCCAAACTTCAGGACTGCTGTCCCTGTCATTCTCTGTTGTAGTTGGGGAAACTGAGGGCCAGAGTCCGCAAGGGACAGTCACAGTGGCAAGACATGCCGCTGCTCCCAGGTGGACAAATTATCTAAGTGCCAGCTATAGGCTTCCTTTGGAAACCGCAGCTTCAGAACGAACCCTCCCCACTCCTGATCAGAACGCCACACCCAAGGCTTTTTAAATACAAAGATTAAGGAACCGGATCCGAAAAGGGGGGCATCCAGTAAACTGGGCGCCGGGGATAGCGAGGGGAGGTTAGCGCTTCTCATTCCTAGGGGCCGCTTCCTCGGCTGAGGAGAGCTAGTCGGGAGGGATGGATGTTGCCTGGCCCAGATTTGCTAAGGAAGGCTGATTTGACTGACACTGTCATTGCTTGGTACCATCGTAAACATTAGTGGGGTGATGGTGTTGTCAGAATGTCAGGCAGTCATCCCAGCCTGCTAGCCACGTATGGGAAGGTGGAGTTCCAGGGTTACTCGAGTGACTTCAAAGTCCAAGACAACAGAGCACCCAGCCAAGCTAGGTCCTCCTCCCTGAAGGGTGTGCACTGTCACCGACCCAGTCAGGCCTGTTGGTGACTGTGGTGTTTCCTCTCTAGATGGGAGTGGAGTTGGGTTATTCGTTGTCCTGGCACCACACACATGGGCACCCTTGGACACCTGGTGTGTGTATTTTCCTTCTCCTGGTGGGATGCAGTGGAGGATTCTTAGATTCTGAAAGAAAAGCTAACGTCTGGTGAGAAGACTCAGCCAGGAAAGACGCTTGGCACTAAGCTCAGGGCTTGAGTTTGATCCTCCAGGACCCACAAGGAGGAAGGAGAAAGAGAACTGGCGAGACTCCCCGAGCTGTCCTCTGACCTCTACACACCTCTGGGACACTCGTGCACACTCAAAACAAAACACCACTAAAAGTTTTCTTTAAAGGAAAGCTAATACTCTAAAAGGGCATAATGAGTTGCTTAAGTGTAAGTTTGTGTCTTAATTTGCAGCCTGATGAGCTAATAGCATGGGAGCATCCTACACAGAGGCACTGGGCTTTGCATGGTTCTATGGGACGGATGAACTGTTTGTCTTGCTTAGACATGTCAGCTTTTGAACATATGACCCCCCCCCTCTGTTTCCTGCTTTCTTCCAGGCATACATTTCAGCTCTCCTTTCCTATAAATGTATTTTCTCTCAGTTCCTTTGGGGGAAAACTAAATTTATTTCGAAGTAACACTACTCCTTTTTTTTGGATTATAGGGAGTGGATGAGTTGCCTCACTCATAAGAGACACAGGGGAGACTTCATATCTATGGTTATGTTTTCTTCAGTTCCATTTCCCCTCCTCTCCCCTCCCTTACCCTCCCCTCTGCCTTGTGAGAATACATTTCTTTAAATATGGGAGGGGAAACTGAAAAATCCCATTAGTTATTTTCAGTAGCTCTTTTCTGTCAGTTCCTGTCCATATGGTGACACATTTTATTTGCTTGTTTGTTTTTACATAGTTGAACTATAGTGTGTGCCTATTTTGGATTTTCTATTTTGCAAAGACAGTATTTTTATTTGTGTACCAATAGCGTTGGCAGCAATTGACATCCAGACACAAAACAAGCTTTGAAAAGCTGTATATGACCACTGTTGGGTTGCTCCTCCCTGGAGTATTTTACAGAGCATTTCTGATACAGTCCCAACTGAATCTTAAGGATGACGTGTGTCCAGGTGACAGGATTATGGTTCCCTTCCGTTAGGCCTCATTGTCTCATTTCTTTTTTTCTGGACTAGGAACTGCTGTCCTGATGACGTGGCGCTTCCTCAGAAAGTGGCTCTTCCTTAACACGATTCTTTTGACCCTTTTTTTGTTCCTCTTTCTTTCTTCTGTCTGTCAGTCTGTCTTTCTTTCATACTGAGGATGGTTCCCAGCATATCCAGAGTGTTACAGTAAAAGCTCTGGCCCCAGCTGTCCTAGTAAGCGAAGCTTGGTCACTCATCCCAAGGTGCCAAAGTGACAATTACTGGCACAGAGCAGAGCCAAGAGAATTAACACCCTAGGAAGAGGGACAAATAAAGGGGTCCAACTGTCCCCGAGTTTGGCTTCAGGACCCTGCCATGAGGTTCAAATAGAGGACGGGTTGGGACAGAGGGTGAGAGATAGACGCATTCTGGGTCAAACTGTGGTTTTGGTCACTCCAGTGTCAGCTCAGGTCCTGCAAGGTGGGCTCTTGCAGTGATACTGTGTTCTTAGTTGTCTTCACCTAAACCTAGTTCTTGGAAGGAGATAGAGTACAGCCTCCCCATCATAGATGAGTGTTCTCTTCATGGGCAGTCTAAGGTAAACACAGGTTTAAGACAATGCCTTCAGTCTTAACAAGAATGAGAGGGTATGAATCACGGCTTTTACATACTCGGTCCTGATTAGATTACCATGGCCATGTGTGGAGAAGCAGGATGACCCAAAGGAAAGGAGACACATGCAAAGGGAAGATGGGAATGGCAGCCTTTCTTCCTCTTTTGAGTTCCTCTGTGGGCTCAAGTGAGACGTCAAGTTTTGCAGCAGCAGCAGCAGCAGTTTCTAAGTGCCTGTTACACTAGGGCCTTGTGCTGCTAGGCAAGTAGTCTTCCATTGAGCTAAAGGCCTCCCGCTTCTTTTTCACTTTCTGTTTTGAGGCAGTCTTTTTCAGTTGAACAGGCTGGCTTTCAGCTTGTCCCACAGCTCAGGCAGGCCTTGAATTTGCGTTCTTGATTCAGACTCCCGAGTAGCTGGAGTCACAGGCCCTGTGTTACTGGACCTGCCTTTAACGATATTATTTATTTATTGTAATGAGCCATAAGCATGTTCTGGAACATTTAGGGTTGGGGGTGGGGACTCTTCAGCAAAATCAGGTGTGGTGGTTGGTTGAAATTGTTGGTTCCAGTGGCATCTTGAGGTGCATTGACCTTTCTAGAGGTCTGTGGTAAGTGTAGTGGTTTGCTTTGGTTATACAGTGGCAGTTTCTATGCCTTGAAATCAGGTCTCTGGGATGACAGCATTAGTAGTGTTGGGGAATGGTAGCATTTGTCGTTTGGTTGGCAAGCCTTAGTGTTTCTAACGTGGTGAAAAAGCACTGGGATTTTGTGGCCTTGAGCAGACCCTCACACTGTTCAAGGACTAGAAAGCTTAGTTTGGTTTTGTTTTGTTAGCCCCCTCTCTGTAGTGTAGATCCTCTTGTGCTTGTTACTTTTAGGAGAGTTTCAAGCCCGTGCTTTGTCATTCTGGTTCTGAACAAGTAGGAAATATTACATTTCCCAAGTAAAGTCTAACTAAAGGGCTTAAACATATTCTTTTTCTAATACCAAGAATTGAACCCAAGGCTTGCACATTCCAGATAAGTGATCTGCTAGTAAGCTACATTCCTGGCCCTTGAAGAACTAGACTTTGATTGTGAAAAGTGCTTGCCCCTCTTACAGAGGACTGAGTCTGTTCTCAACACTGCTGTAACCCGAGCCCCAGGTGATCTGGTCTCTATGTGGAATCATGTACACACATTCAAAATACAATGTTATTTTGAGGTCTTGGGACATATTTCAGTTGTAGAGTACTTGCCTAGCATGTAGGAGGGCCTTAATTCAATATTAATGCTACAAAAAGTAAAGTAACAAAAAATTGCTTTGAGACAGAGTCTACCATGCTGTACTCAAACTTAGGATTCTCCTGCCTCCGCCTGGAGTTATAACAAAGTGTACCTTTACCTCAGACTTCAAAATTCAAATAGGTTCATCATCATTATCTAATATTATTTTTAAAAAGAATGAACTTGCCATTAGACTGTTACCTAAAACAGGACAAAAACAAAATGTGAGTGCTCTCTTTCTTTTTTGACAGAGTCGCATGTAATACAGCCTGGCCTTCAGCTGACTAGGTGGCAGAGGATGACTTAGGCTTCTGATCCGTCTGCATACATACCTGGCTGTGTCATTTCTCTTTAGTCACACCCTCTTGATGCTTATCTTGATAGACCTGGGCCCCTCGTTACCATGAAGTAAACAAATCTTGAACCCTGTGAAAACAGCCACTCTCAGTACAGCTCCTGACAGCTGTTGGGTTGTAGAATCCAAATTCAAACCTTTGAGTACATTTAGATGTTTCTGTAATCCTGTGGATGGCAACTATAAATTGGGGGTTTGGGCCTGTGACTGTGCTTGACTCCACCCTGTCTCCCAAACCACATTCTTAAAACAAAAAGAAGATTCCAAGTGAACAGGTCAAATGTCGGTTCCTCACCTAGTTTGTCCCTAGTCACTCTAGTTTAAGATGACAAGATGGCCTCCTTCTGGCCTCCGGAGATGATGGCTCAGTGGTCAGGAGTGTTTGCTGTTAAGTATGAAGACTTGAATTTGAATCCCTAGCAAGCAAGTAAAAAGCAGGGTGTGATCACTCCATGTCTGTAACCCAAACACTGTGGGGTGGAGACAGGATTGCTGGGGCCTGCTGACTGCCTGGTGAGTTCCAGGTTTGCTGAGAGACCCTGTCTCAAGGCAGTAAGATGGGGGAGATGGCTGGACACCAGAAATCCTGCTCAGGCTTCTTACTGTGTGGGTAGAGAGGTAACACAACCAACTGAGCACTCAAGGACTTAGTAGTCCAGAGAGAAGCCAAGGAGACAGAACTCAGTTCTGAAACAGTTAAAATGTACACACACACACACACACACACACACACACACACACACACACACACACACGCACACACGCACACACGCACACACGCACACAGATGGCCTCCTTCAGAATTCCTGCTTTAAAAATCTTTCAGAGTCACGCACAAGTCTTCCGTGAGCTGTGGAAGGGGATTCTCCTTGGTTTGCTCGTTAGGGGTTTGATTGCTTTGCTGAGAGCCACCATTCCCCATTTTAACTGTTGAGAACTGAGTTCTGTCTCCTTTGCTTTCCTGTGGACTACTAAGTCCTTGAGTGCTCAGTTTGTTGTGTTATCTCTCTACCCACACCCGAAAGATAAGATCTCCAAACAGCTGTCCCAGGTTGAGTTTATGCAAGCACAGTTTTTTTGTTTTGTTTTCCCACGTGTCTGCTTGACTTTTATTAGCTACCTAATCAAAGACTTTCTAGCAGAGAGACCTTGGTCTTCATCTTTGTTGTCCCCTTTTCTTCCTCTTCTTCTGCACCCTCCTCATCCTTTGCTTTTTTTCTTCTTTGCTTTGGTTTGTTTAGAGGTACTAAGGACTTCAGAGTGTCACAGTGGAATGATCGCCATGAGCTTTTACGATGAGTTAGGGGGGTTGAGTTGTGATTGCATCAGCTGCTTACATAGGACCGCTTGTACTCTTGATTTTTGCCTTGTGCTGAAAGATTGACTTCCTCAAGAGCTGCTAGGTGAGACAGGACTACAATAAGCATGTCCACAGAGCAGACCTGAGTCGTCTGCAGGCTGGGGTGACAGATGGGGGCGGGAAATGTCGTGCTGTGGGGCTAGGACCACTTGTTTTATGGAATCTTGATTTTTCCTTCATTCTCTACCCTCTTCTTCCTACTTTGATAATTTGCATTATTTTATGGTTGTTATTTTTTTTTCTGAGACATGATCTTGCTGTCTAAGCATTGCTTGGTAGGAAAGAATTCAAAATGTTCTAGTGAACATTCTAGATCTGTAAGTGGATTTTTCTGACTAGAATGGAACTATTATAGTTACTACAAATACATTTAAAAAAAACAGCACTGGCAACTGTTACCAATTGTTCCTGACTCTTTGGCCAGTGTTATTGAGGATTTAATGTTGTTTGGGCAGGGTCAGGGCTGAGGTTCAAACCCAGCATCCCAACATGCAAGACAAGCAGTGTGCCAGTAGCTGTGTGTACCCAGCTCGAACACTGTGTCCCTTTTATGTATTGACTAAGAAAAGGCACAGTAAACATAGGAAGGTGCTCAAAACTACTCACGCCTGCCATGCACGGCGCTGGGCAGCTCGGGAGGGTGGCACTTGCTCCAGATTATTATGTAATGCCAGGTGATATGGAGCGCTTGTTCAGCTTTCAGTTGGGATGCTAAATGATATGGCAGCCATTTTCTGGTGAGGTGAGTGTTTGGAGCTCACTCTGTTTCTGAGCAGAATAGCCCTGAGGTTAAATATTTAACCACAGCCAAGTGTTCTTGAGGACACACTTGAACATGAGGATGTCTGCTTTGACCCTCCCTCTAACTATAACACGAATAAATAAAAGACCCAGAGACATATATTGGGGTTTAAGCTGAAGATCAGGGAAGCAAAGCAGCCGGCCACTAGCTCAGGCTAAAGTGTTGATTTTTGCTCGAGCTCTTCACTTCTCAAGCTGCTGCCTCTCCTCAGTGTGGCTGGAGAAGGAATGCCTCATACTGACTGCTGAAGACCCTGCTTCTATCTTTAATACTCTCTGGTGCTGGGATTAAAGGCCTGTGATCTGTTACTCTTTTAGACTCATTCAATTTCGTGTATCCCTGGGTGGCCTTGAATTCAGAGAGATCTTTCTATCTCTTAATCCTGAGTCCTAGGTGTAAAGGTGTGTCCCACCACCTCCTAGTTCCTGGATGCAGGGATTAAAGGTGTGTGCCCGGCTTCTATGGCTTGTGGCTGACTTTGCCTTCTGAATCTTCAGGCAAGCTTTAATAAATAAGGGGGGTGGGAAGGTAATATATTACCTCATCCAACCCTTGGGAATTCCTGTGTGCTTGGCACTGCCTTTGAGAGAGCTGTTAGAAGCCATAGCTCTCACCTTTTCCATCATGTAAGTCTCTTTAGAGAGTCAACTAGAAGGAACAAATGCAGTTTTCCCGAGATGCTATTGGTTGCTTTGGTTCCTGTGTAATCCCCTCTGGGAACTTGGCTTTTTTTGCTGTAGATTCTTTGTCCTCTGTTAAGTGCCTAGCACACACAAAATAGAGCCATGGAAGGTTCAGATCAAAGTCAGACGTGCAAGCTGTTTGTGGCTGCTTCTTTATGTAAGTTCCATTTCACTGTGAATGAAGCCCCACAGGCATTTTCTTTTATTTTTATACTTATTGTGTGTGGTTGTGTGTCATGTGTACAGGTGAGAGGATAGCTGTGGCTTCGGTGTTCTCCTACCGTGTGAGTCCTGGGGATTGAGCTCAGGTTCTGAGGGTTAGCATCAAGCACCTTCCTACCGAGTCCCCGTAGCGGTCGCCATAGGCCTCTTAGAGAGATACAGCAGGCCAAGCCATCAGAACTGTGAGACGCTGCCCTTAAAACTTCTTCTGCAGGAAGGAAGTGGTGCAGGGGCCCTTTAGGATGATGTAAAGGCAGCTGGCATGCAGAGGAGATGGAGAATACCAGATGTGAATGAGTCTGTGGCTGGAAATGAAAGTAGAGTTTTCTTTCTTTGGTCTATAGTGAGTGAGATCTTTAAGCAGTTGTCTTATTTCTTTTATTATCATTTCCTTCTTCCTTTCAGCCTCTGGAATTATTTCCTGACTTTGTGGTAATAAGACAAGGAGTCAGGGAAATCCATGACCTGAATTTCTTCAGCTATATCAGGCCATTTTCAGTGTTTGTCTAGCCTTCCCAGATGTATTAGTTTTCATTGTGTGTCACAGTTTGAGCAGTGAAGAAATTCTAGGTCATATGACAGGATCCTTCCTTAGTTCCTAACAGTTGTGAAATTAAGAGAGTTTTTTTTTTTTTTTTTTTTTTTTTTGGTTTTTCAAGACAGGGTTTCTCTGTATTGTCTTGAAAGCTGTCCTGGAACTCGCTTTGTAGACTAGGCTGGCCTCGAACTCACAGAGATCCACCTGTCTCTGCCTCCCGAGTGCTGGGATTAAAGGCGTGTTCCACCAACGCCCGGCATTAAGAGAGTTTTGAGGTTAGACAGGGTTAAAGATCCTTGGTGGTGCTAGTGTGTCTCAGAGGGTAAACTGGCCCATCTCGGGACTTCCCCTTGAGCTTTTCTTACTACCGCCCTATACCCGTGTTCTACCCATGGTCTGTTTCTGGATCAAGAACATTGCCAGTTTTAGTTTCTGATGGGTGTTTAGTTTTGTGGTCTTTTTTTTCCCTCCTCTTTCACTTCAAATGTAAAGTATCTTTGTTTAATTTTAACTCTTTCTTTTTCAGTTCAAATCTGAACATCAATGATGTCCTAGGGAATTACTCCCTGACTCTTGTTGATGCCTTGGATACACTTGCAGTAAGTGTTCAGCCTTTTCTTCTTTAATTAAGATAATTAAGATAAAGTGTTTTGGGGCTTATTGTATTTGCTCGGTTTCCCCAGGAGTGGGAATTCCAGGAAATGCTGTGCTCAGAAGGCTTTGATGAGTGTCATTTATCTTAATGACCTTCAATGGGAAGGCAAGAAAAGCCTGGGAGGTTAATTGAGGGGAAATACGGCTCTCCTTTAAGGTTGAGAAGGGGTTCATGGCTAGTTTTCAGAAAACCTATTATTTAACTTATTTTGTTTTTTTGCCATCCTGTGGTTTGTCACTACTTAGTTACTACTTAGTTAGATCACAGACTGTATTGCTTATTTTCTATTGCTGGGATAAAACATCAGAACCAAAAGGAAGTAAAGGGAAAGAGTTTATCTTGTGTAATGGTTCCGGTCTGAGTGGTGGGAAAGGCATGGCATGGCAGCAGGGTTGGGAAGCAGGATGTTCACATTTTCATTCACTTATTCTGAGACTCCCAAAGCTTCCACAAGGTCCCCACATAGCAGCAACAGTGGGGCCAAGTGTCCCAACACCTCAGCCTATGGGGAAGACTTCTCATTCAAACCACCACACGGACCTTCTAGCCTCTATGTCTGCCCAGAAACAGACCACGTCTTCCTGTGGCTTGTTCTCTGGGACACAACTAATAAAAAAAAGGGTACTGTGCCCTGGTGTCTCATCCCCTCTCCCTTCCCTGTGTATACGACAAGATAAATGTATGGTCTTACTGAGTGCCGGCCTCTGTGTTCCTTGATACTTAGACCAGACTAAGCTAAATTGTGAAGTATGAAACTTGTCTGTAATCCTGAAAACCTGAGTCAGAGCCTCTGTTTATTGTGTGGAACTGAGTGGCCGTTTGTCCTTTTCGGGTCCCCATCCTACCACATACACCTACCTGTCTATCTTTGCTAATTGCCCTCCGACTTTAGCATTGTGCCATGGCCCTGAGGCTCTTTCCCAAAGGTTTCCTTCTGAGGGGCAATTGTGTTTGAGCTCCCTATTACAAATCAACCATATTTTTTTTTTAGCTTATAACACAGTACTTGAGGAATAAAATCAGAGGACCCCAGGGTCAGAGGTACCCCAAATACTTGTAGCTATTGGCTTCCAAGGAGTGTCTGCCCGGTCCCTGGCCATGCATGAGGCCCTCTGTGAACACCCCTGTTATTATTGCTTCTTGGTTTTGGCTGCTGGCCACTCCAGATGTGGATTGCCAGCTTGTGTACTGCCTTCCCCTCTCATCCTTTGGCATCTCCTTTGGTCCTGGGGAGCTGGAGGCCTCTCATCAGAAGAACCCTCCTGAAGGCTCCAAGCCACACTGCTGTCAGACTGTGTCTATGTGCTTCATGGCCTAGTGCCATTGAGTATGGTTTCCAAGGGACGTTTCCAGTGTGTTACAATCTCCTTAGTAAAAGTTAATTTTACAAACCCTTCTGTTTTCCTTGTCCAAGACCATCTTTACTATTAGAACACTATTGAATCCTATATAAAGTACTATATTTAATTTATCTGGTTCCTTTAACATCCCTAAGGAATGTTTATAGCTGTCAGTTAGGAGTTGGAATTGGGTAAGGTAGCTAAATTTACACCATGATTGCCTTGTGGTTTGCTAGTAGTAGAATTGCAGGATCGGGAAAGAAGCTGAGATAAGTCCTGCGCCTTCCTTGTATAGATTGTAGAACCAGGACTGGGCCCTGCTTCTAATAGAGCTGCTGGGTTTCCTCCTAGGCTTTAGTTGCAGAGCACTTTGTCTCCCAGTATTTCCTTCTCAAGGGATTGCTGCTGCATTAAGTCATCCACCATCACTTCTCAGAATGTGCCCAGACAAGTAAGTGCAGCATAATTAGTGCTAATGCAGTGAGGCTACTAGAGGCTGACTCAATCCACAATTGTGGGAGAAGGGTTAGAAGGTGCAAGGACAGCTTGAGAAAACTCACTCTCCTGAGCCCTCCGGGTAACCCCCAGTATGTCTTCCTATCCAATGTTATTTGCTGTACTCTTGACAGTAGGTAGTACATAGTAGGACTGCAGATTGTTGTTTAAGTGAATGTTTACTAATCTTCCCTTGTCCAGCATGTATTCTAAGGGTATACCCCTTGATATAGTATTGTTCTCAAAGGAACTGAAGAAATTCTGACTATTTGAGATATATATCATACAACAGCATTTTATTTATTTAATTAAAAAATTATGTTGAGGTTTAAAAATGATTTAAATTTTTTTAAAAGTGTGTGTGTATGTGTGTGTGTGTGTGTGTGTGTCTGTGTGTAGCTACATGTGGGTGGAGGTCATAGGACAACTTGCAGGATTCGTTTCTCTCCTACTATTTGGGTCCCAGGGATCTAATGCAAGTGACCAAACTTTGTACCAAGTATTATTTCTACTGACACACCTTACTGGCCTGATTTATTTAATTTTTGAGACAGCTTCTCAAAAATAAAATTTAGACTGCCCTTAAACTTGAAGCAGTCTCTTGCTTCAGCAAGTGACATGATTACAGGTGTCTGTCTGTCTGTCTGTCTGTCTGTCTGTCTGCCTGCCTGCCTGCCTGCCTGCCTGCCTGCCTGCCTGTCTGTCTGTCTGCCTATCTATCTATCTATCTATCTATCTATCTATCTATCTATCTATCTAACTATCTATCTAATATTTGCTGGTGGACTTGGAGCAAGTGTTCTTCCACTGAGCTATATCCCTTGCCATTTGTTTTGTTTTGGTCTTTAAGTCAGAGGCCCCAACTGGTGACCACCATGCCTCAGTCTGCAGAGTGCTGAACTTACAGGTGTGAGCTGCATAGCAGCATTTTCAAGATTCTGAGAAGCCCTCTTCTGTCCAATCTGCCTTTCTCAGGCCTGGGTGATTCTAGGCGGTGATTTCTAATGTGACAACTTACAGGGCATAATTGAAGTACCCGGATTTCATCACCTTCCCCAGCTTGATCTGAGATCATACCAACCCTGCAGCTGCACCAGACATTGTTCTTGGTGAACATCTGGGAGGAAACAGACCCATTTCTGCGGTTTACTGTAGACTATTTGGTCTTGAATGCGTTAATGTGTTGAGGTTTTAGTTTTCTTTTGTTAGCATTTCCAGCAGATGTTTGCAGATGTGCTGCAAGAGCCCCCAGGGGAAAACAGTCCCCTGACCGTTGCATGCAACCCGAACAAGATTTCATGTTCTTTTAAAAAGGAAGAACTGTAAACAGAAAGCCTGTTTCTGCTCTGTACCCCAAAAAATGATTTGAGAAATACATAGCAGACCAGTACACTAAGAAATAAGGCACACCCCAGAGAATCATTGATCCTTGATGCATTTATTAATCTATCTAGCTATTGGTGTATGTGTTTGTGTCCTTATGAAAAATGATTGTAAAATTTGGGTGAAATCAAGTCATTTCCATATAGGTTAACCAATATCATTTTATAACAGTTTTGCCCTTTTTGGAAGGAATAGCATGCTATGGCATTGTATCTACAGACCTCAGATAGGAACCTTAATTTTTAAATTGGACATAAAGCTGATAATTCATGTTTTGTTTTTATTTTTTAAGCACTTGTTTTCCCCCCTGTACTAGTGTGTACATGTTTGCGTGTGAGGGCAAGCATGTACCACAGTATTTGTGTGGAGGTCAGAGGACAAACTGCTTGACTTTTTACCTGGATTCTGAACTCAGGTCATCAGTGAGGCTTGCATGGCAGGTGCTGTGATGACTGAACCATCTTCATGACTCCACTTAGTTTTAAATGGTACTTGTTTTATGCTGTACTGCTAGTACTCTCTCAAAACCTTCCCACATATGGATGGCAAGCAAGGTCAGTTAGTTCTCCAGATGTCTTGGATTTATTTGAGAAGCAGAGATAGAATCGTATTTTTGTTACATAATTTTCTGACTGTTTTCTCCCGTTCCACAACTTTTTAGAACTTGTTCTGCCTTGCAGATAAAGGTCAGCCCAGAGCTTGGGGGAGAAGGGAGTGGAAAGACGTGGCCGCAGTGAGTCTGTAAGTGTTCATTCACATAGTCTAGTCGTGCCACTTGAGACAGGACCTGTGAGTGAGTGGCAGGAGGCAGGCTCGCTGTCTGTCCTGGAGTATGATGTGAGAAGGAACAGCCTCCTACCCTTTGCGTGTCCTTTCCCACTGTGGCAAAGCCATAGGCAGTGCACACTCATAGATGTGGTGGCTGACTGTATGTCGGTGTCATTTCAAGCTGCTGTAATGGGTTGTGTTCTTCTGTTTAAAGATAATGGGAAATTCATCCGAGTTCCAGAAAGCGGTCAAGTTAGTGATCAACACTGTTTCGTTTGACAAAGATTCCACCGTCCAAGTCTTTGAAGCTACAATAAGGTACAGTAGCAAATGAAATGAATCGAAGGTTTCTTGTGTGTGGGAGGGGGCGGGGCGGGTAAAGGATTTAATTCCCCTGAGGGCAATATGGACTCTGTGTGTATAATTCATGTTCATTTTAGTTTATTGTTTATGAAATCTTGTGCTTCTGATGCATAACATCATCACATTTTGGGCTGTGAAGAAATACACATTTTAGTGAGTACATAAGAAGATGTCCCTCAAATGCAATTTCAGTGATTCTGTTCATATCCTTTTTTCCTTATTTACTGCCTTAGGAATCGTTTTCCTAAGGCAGTTTTTAAATGGAGTTTTGCTTCTCTCCACCCACAAAAGTTCACTGCTTGCTCTTTTGATGTCTTTTTCTTGTATGGTTCTCATTTATCACCCACTCTTTGCTAACTAATGGTGGAGTCATGGCCTATACCCAGTTTTACGCCTGGATTTCTTTAGTATGAAAAGTCGACTCTTTTCCTGTTTAAATATTTTGAAAATTGTGTGCTATACAGCTGTCCATTTCTAGATCTGAACCTTGAAATTGAAACTATGAAGTAGTTTATTCTAAAACAATAAAAAATAAATCATTTGTTTGAGAAATGTTGCAGTCCTTTTTAGATAATTGAGATGGGCCATTTATGTATCTACAAGGACGTAAATCTAAGAAGGTAGCCTCTGTTTTTCAATATCTCTCATTTTGTCATTTCCTTCTCCATGTTGTCTCATTAGACACTGGGACAATTCATTAGTCAATAGGCAGTCAGACCTGTACAAGTTACACGCTCTGTTGTACCTTCTTTTTTAATGTCCTAAGATAAAGATAATCAAATTGGTTAACGCTTTCGGTGGCATCTACAGTTGTCTTGAATGGATAATTCACCATCTTCCTGTGTGCACTGCAGTGAACCGAGAACCAGTCATTTAGAGCCAGTCATTTAAGAAGCTACTGAATCAGGTTCTTCTGCTCCAGGCAGTTTGGAGCCTGAGAAGAAGTAGAGACATCTTTTGTCTTTGTAAATTGGATCCTGTGCACTTGTAACAATACACTTTTGTTATTATTTTCCTTTTTGCTGTCAGGGTTCTGGGAAGTCTCCTTTCTGCTCATAGAATAATAACTGACTCCAGACAGCCCTTTGGTGACATGACAATTGAGGATTATGATAATGAATTGTTGTATATGGCCCATGACCTGGCCGTGCGGCTCCTGCCAGCTTTTGAAAACACCAAGACAGGGATTCCCTATCCTCGGGTAAGTGGCTGGTTTATTCTGTTGGTTTGTTGTTTTTGAGAAATGGTCTTGTGCTGTGTAGCTCAGCGACCCTTGAACTTGTTTTCTTGCATTAACCTTCCAGACATTAGCATTGAAGGTGTGAGTTACCTTCCCTGCCTAGCTTGTTCCTTTGTGTTTCACAATTCACAATTTTCCTGAATTGAAACTCTTATAAAAGGCATGGGACCTGGCTTTACAAAGAGAGTGATGCCTTTGGAGAGGATTTGGTCCTAAACATGATGTCAGTTTTTAAAACTTCTGTCAGCATTTACTGACTACCTTCTGTGTTCTAGATATACATAATATAGCAGTAGCCTTTCAAGTTGAAGAACCATGGTCACTGTTCATGTGTGTTTATGTTTTCTGTTACTAGATAGTATGGAGAATGTTTCTTCATTTCTGACTTGAATGTATTTCCCAAAGATCCTCACATGTATGCAGGAGCTCAGTGAATGTTCATTTGAGCAAGTGAAGCCTGCAGGACCAGCCAATTTGATGCTGATTTAGATACAAGATCTGGAGTGAGATTGTGTATTTGTAGCATCTGATTTAGCAAGCCAAATAACTCCTCTGGGAATTGTGTCAGCCTTTGCAATAATCGGGAGAAATGCCAGACCACAGAGCCTCCATGATGAAATTGGCTGTCATACTGTGGTTGAACCTCTGCTTCTTTCCCAGTCTAGCAGTTGTGTTTGCCGAACGGGAGTGAGTCTTCAGAAACTTGTCTAGAATCCGTTACGGCCTGTTTGTCTCTAACCCTGTGGTAGTTACTTTTGTGTTGCGGTAATGAAATACCAAGACCAAAAGTAACTTAATTTGTTTTAGTTTATGGCCCTAGAGGAGAGTCCAGAATGTCAGGGAAGGCATGGAGTAGCAGGAAGCTGATTGATCACATTTCAGACAGGAAGCACAGAGACTGAACAGGAAGGAGGATGAGGCTATAAACTCTCAGAGCCTACCTCCAGCAAGGCTTAAAGGCTCTTATGGTGGCGCACGCCTTTAATCCCAGCACTCAGGAGGCAGAGGCAGGTGGATCTCTGTGAGTTTGAGAGCAGCCTGGTCTACAAGAGCTAGTTCCAGGACAGCCTCCAAAGCCAGAGAGAAATCCTGTCTCAAAAACACAAAACAAAACAAACAACAAAAAAAGATTCCATAGCCTCAGCAAATAGCCCCACTGCCTTGGCACCCAGCATTCAAATACATGAGCTTGGGCGGGACACCACAACCCCCCAGAGCCTGGTGCTTCTGTAGTCTGCAAGGACACTTGCAGAAAGAGAAGGTTTAATGAATAATAAGGCTGTGTTCTTACTGTTTGCAGTGTCTCTCATCTTGAGTATAACATGACAAGTGGTGAGCTGAGTTGCAGTGTGAGACTAGTTCATTACCTGAGCATCATATCTATGATACGACTTTTCAGCACTGTGAATTCTTAAATTTTGCTACAAAACTTTTTAAAAATTTTTTGGGGGAGTGAGATCTTGCTATGAACTGAGGCTGGACTTGAACTCGCTCCGTAGCCAGGCTGTCCTCCAACTTCTGACCCTTCTGCCTTGCTCTCCTAAGTGCTGGGGTACAGTTGCTCGACAGCATCATGTGGCCTTCCTCACAACTTCTGATTCTTCCTACCCCAGGTCAATCTGAAGACGGGTGTCCCTCCTGACAGCAATAATGAAACCTGCACGGCAGGCGCTGGTTCTCTCCTGGTGGAATTTGGTATTCTGAGTCGGCTGCTGGGGGATTCCACTTTTGAGTGGGTTGCCAGACGAGCTGTGAAAGCCCTCTGGAACCTTCGGAGCAACAATACAGGATTACTAGGTAGCGTTCACCTTCTGCCATCAGTGGGTCTGTCTGACCTTTGGTCCCCTTCGCTGCTCTCTGAACTCTGCACTTTACTTCATCTTCCCTGTACCAGTGGATCTAGAAATGGTTAACTTGACCAGTAGCCACTGGTGCTTCATGGGTCCAGTTTCTTCCATGACCTTTTGCTTAGTGGGAAGTCCTAGGGTTTAATAGAAGATAATAATGGTTCAGCTGTTAGAGCCCTGTTGGTTTGGATCCCTTGGTGTATTTCATCGGAAATTATTGTTAATAGAAATGTCATAAAGAGAACTGTCTCAGAGGCAAACTTTATTTCTTCAATATAAGGTTCTAAAAGTACAGGAATTTAGTATTTCCAGTAGAGAGGTTTTTTCCTTTAAAAAAAAAAAAAGAAATCTAGGTGAAAGCCTAGTTGAAACATATATTAGATTTTGCTCCCTTGAGAATATTTAGTAAAAATATTGAAAAATTATTATGGAAAGGCTTAAGCTTTAGTAGTAGACATAATAATGAATAATATCCTTTATGTATTCATCATGACATTCATCTTTAATAACTACCCATATTTTGCTAACTCACAGTGTTGAAATTCTTTCTATGAGGCTTCAGTAACCTTGATCCCCAAGCTACACAAAGACACAACTAAGAAAGAGAACTTCAGACCAATATCCCTCATGAACATTGATGCAAAAATACTCAATAAAATACTGGCAAATCGGATCCAAGAACACATCAAAACAATCATTCACCACGATCAAGTAGGTTTCATCCTAGGGATGCAGGGATGGTTCAACATACGAAAATCCATCAACATAATCCACCATATAAACAAGCTGAAAAACAAAAATCACATGATCATCTCATTAGATGCTGAAAAAGCCTTTGACAAAATCCAACACCCCTTCATGATAAAGGTCTTGGAGAGATCTGGGATAACAGGAACATACTTAAATATAATAAAAGCTAATACAAAAAACCAACAGCTAACATCAAACTAAATGGACAGAAACTCAATGCAGTTTCAAAACAGGTTTTAACATCATAAAATGTCTTATTGGGACATATTTTCTTTTTGACATATGGAAATAACTTGGTTGTTTTGAAGCCATATTGGATCACCCATAAAAAAATTAAAAGTAATTTTTATGTTTTGATTTTTATGTATAAACCTTATATATTGAATAGCAACAGTAAAAATAAAGTCATTCAGGCTGAAAGTGGTGATACACACCTGTAAATATAGCACTCTGGCGGCTGAGGCAGGAGTTAGAGTGAACTTGAGGCCACTTGAGGCCAGTCTGGGCTACATAGTGAGACCTTGTCTCAACATGGTTGGCTACTCAGCTTTTTGTAGGCACTGTTAGTCTTCCACAAGTAACTTTTGTAACTTTCGAGTTATAACACAGTCCTAAGAGAAACAGTTTTTATGCTTTGTGCATTTGGCAAGTCATTCTGAGATTTCCAAATTGTTGCCTTACTTTCATAGTTACCTTTTTTTTTTTTTTCTGAGACAGGGTTTCTCTGTATTGCTTTGGAGGCTGGCCTCGAACTCACAGAGATCCACCTGCCTCTGCCTCCCATGTGCTAGGATTAAGGGCATGTGCCACCAATGCCCAGCTCATAGTTACCAATTTTAAAAGCTATGCTTTGTTTTTTTGCTTGTTTCTTTGTCATACAATTTTTTCTATGTATACTTTACTGACTTCCGCTTCCTCTACAGCCCAAGGTGGCCTCAAGCTCCCCATCCTTTACGCCTGTGCCCTGGCATACCTGGCTGTTTTTTGTGGTGTTGGAACTCAGGTCCTTGTATGTAGTAGGCAACTACTCCACCACTGATCTGTATCCCCAGTCTGACCTTTTGTTTTTATAAGCATTATTTTTGGGACAAATTCCAATGAATGGAATATGGGGTAAAAGGCTGTGAATACTCCTTTGGGTTTTGAAATGCATTACCATTCTGGGAAAGCAAAATGTCAAACCTGCTTTTTTTTTTCTGTTAAATGTTTATTTCCATTTTTCCTCTGTGACTATTACATGCATGTACATCTGAGTGCTATAGAATGATCTCTCTTCACCAAGTTCCTGATAAGACTCCTTTAGACTCAACTATCCATTCATCATATCTGCCAGGCTTAAGGATGCTGAGAAACAGTGGGACAGGGGTAGGAAGGCCTTACCCCCCACCCCGCCCCTTCTGACATGGCTGAGACCTGAAGTGTCTTGTTTGTTTGTTTCCACAGGCAATGTTGTGAACATCCAGACAGGTCACTGGGTTGGAAAGCAGAGTGGCTTGGGTGCTGGGCTGGATTCCTTCTACGAATACCTCTTGAAATCTTACATCCTTTTTGGAGAAAAAGAAGACCTAGAGATGTTTAATGCTGCATATCAGAGCATCCAGAACTACCTGCGAAGAGGGTATGTGTCCCTGATGTCACTTTTATTACCCTGCAGTGTTCAGTTTCTGCCCAGCTGTGCTTCCATTCATTCATTCATTCATTCTTTCTTTTTGTTATTACTGCTTATTTTATTGTTTTTGGAGAGGAGCATGTATGCCATGTAGAGGTCAGAGGACAACTTGTAGGCATTGGTTCTCCACCATGTTAGCCCAGGAATGGAGTCCCGGTGTTCACGCTTGATGGCAAGCATCCTCATCACTCAGACCTTTCTACTGTCTTCTTTCAATTTAGACATTGTGGAGGTGGTGTGTCACTGGATAGCCCTGTCTGGTCGGGTACTCATTCGGACTCAGATTTGCATCAGTCCTCTTGCTTGTGCTTCTGAGTACAGGCATCCCAGCTGTGTTCCACCACATACAGCACAGGTCTTACTATTACTCTTTAGGTGGTGTGGCTGCAGTTGATTCACATTTCATGCAACAGCCTCCTGTGTGCTGGGATTGTAGTTGTGAGCTACTCTGCCAATTCCATATCTCTTAATATAAACTTCCAGGGTCTATTAGTGTCCTTACCTACCATCTCTCTTCATTGATTGTTAGTCGTTTGGGAGTTGGTCATTGTGTAGTATAGTATTTCCAAACCTGCTGGTAGCTTAAAATATCTCACAGTTCCTAAGTGGCAGAGATCTGGGAACTGGTGAGTCATGGATTTTGTTCCAGAATTGTAAATGAAGTACTCTTAACCCCTGAACTATTTCTCTAGTCCCAGGATTATCCTTTAGTATGAACAGTGGATAGTTACCCCTAGCCCTGCTTGAAGTCTGTTTAAAATACTGTCCGCTGTTTCTTTCAGTACATTCAGAATGTCCTTAGAGACAGTCTATGGGAAAGTTTTACAGGCTGCAGAGGCTTCCACCCCAACCCCTACGCCCCCTTCCCCAGGCTTTTCTTTGTACATATATGTAGTAAATGCTTAATGCAAGTAATAGCTACTGAGTGTCACAAGCTTTTGACTCATTTCTATATCAGCTATTGTAAGGACCATTTTTGTGGGAGCTCCTGGGGGCTGGAGAGACAGCTTAGAGGTTAAGAACTCATTGCTTTTACAGAGAACCCAAGTTCGGTTCCCAAATCCATATGTAGTAGCTCACAACCTCTCCAGCACCAGGATATTTGATGCCTTCTTCTGGCCTCTTTGGACACCCACATGCACACGTTTTAACATACATGCAGACACTTCAAATGCACAAATAAAAAACTAAACTCTTGCAAAATGTCATTGTTATGGAGAGATGATGCTAATTTTCTGTGAATTGCAGTTTTACTATTTGTTGCTGAAGTGTGCTCTTGGTGGCTTTCTGAGACTTGCTATCCTCCTGCCTCGACTCTCGAGTGTGATGATTAAGGGTATTCACTGCCATGCCAGTTCATTTCAGCTTTACAAAATACTGAGCTGAATTGAGTAGAAAGCTCACAGGGTCCTGCCTTGATGCACCCCCACAGGCCTTCCCCCCTTCTGACCAGAGAAGAGAATAGAGCATGCTTCCCACTTGGGTCAAGGCTAACACAGACTAATTCTGTTACATGTCAGTCTTCTGAAACTCAGATGTTAAAGTGCTTTCTGCAAATGTAGTGAAGTCTTCACAAAGACTATGGTTAGAACTAGGTTCTTATATAGATACCTACAGGCAGTCTTACTGCCAAATATATAGGGAAGGAGTTAGAAAAAAGTTAGCATTGAGTTTGCTTCAGTGAAACACCCAAGGGTAAACTGCCAGAGGGGTAGAGCTGGAGCTGTCTGCAAGCTTCGTCTTCATCTGGCTTGTACTCTTTGGATCCACAGCCGGGAAGCCTGCAATGAAGGAGAAGGGGACCCACCACTCTATGTCAACGTGAACATGTTCAGTGGGCAGCTCATGAACACCTGGATTGACTCGCTGCAGGCTTTCTTCCCTGGACTGCAGGTATTGTACATTCAGATTTGTTGAGAAGCCTGGGGAGATGGCTTAGTGGATAAGAGTGCTTGCTGTAAGAGCCTGCAGACCCGAGTTTGAATCTTCAGGACTCACTCACCTGAAAAGCCAGTGGTGGCAGTTCGATAGTCCCAGTGCTGAGGGTGGGGGCTTGCTGGTTGCTAGCCTGGCTCCAGGGAATAAGATGGAGAGTCATAGAGCAGATGTCTTACTTTGGCTTCCAGGTATAGCATGAGCGAATATACGTGTGTGTGTGTGTGTGTGTGTGTGTGTGTGTGTGTGTGTGTGTGTGTGTGTGTGATGATCTCTTGCTTGTGCAAATAAAGCCTGTCTGAAGATAAGAAGATCAGAGAACGGAGCTTGCTGCTACCTAAGCATAGAGATCTGGAAGTCTGGATGTCTCTATAGACAGACAGGAAGGAGATGGCTGAGCACAGACAGGAAGTGAGATGGCTGGGTGGAGAGAGGATATAAGCAGGAAGAAATAGGAACTCGCTCTCTTTTTGTCCACTTAGACACTAAGGAGGTAAAAGTGACTTTGGCTTGCTCCTTCTCTCTAATCTCTCTGAGTTTTTATTGTTTAGACCAATTAAGAACTCCATTTAGATTTTGGTGTCCAATGTGAGGCACCAAGCCATGACCCTGAGATTAAGAGTCTCATGCTCTACCAATTTAGCTAGCCAACAGAGGGGGAGTTCCTGTTTCTTCTCTCTTAAATCCTCTCTGCTCAGCCATCTCATTTCCTGTCTGTACAGACCTCCAGACCTCTATGGGTAGCTTCGGGCAAGTTCCATTCTCTGATCTTCAGACAGGCATTTTTGTACAAGCAAGATATCATCACATGTGTGCACGTGCACGCACGCACGCGCGCGCGCATACACACACACACACATACACAATGTATCAAGAATAAGCTTTTATAGGGAAAGTTCCTTCTCTCTTTATATCTTGAGCATTCTAACTCCTTTGGGTTTGGGGGAGTTAATAGAACATCTTGATCTCTCTGGAAATCAGTCCCTAGACTTGAAAATCTGCCTGTGACTTTAGATAGTTTGCCTGTGTTGTCTCTGTAGGTTCTGATAGGGGATGTGGAAGATGCCATCTGCCTCCATGCCTTCTACTATGCCATATGGAAACGGTACGGGGCCCTCCCTGAGCGCTATAACTGGCAACTCCAGGCCCCTGACGTTCTCTTCTACCCGCTGAGACCAGAGTTAGTGGAGTCCACGTATCTCCTCTACCAGGTAATGGGCTTATTAAGAGTGGTTCACTGTTGCATATTGACCAGCTAGAATTGCTGCCTATTTCTGTCTTGTTAGAGGTCACTTCTCTTCATTCTGTAGGATGGAGAAAGTGTCTGCAGCCAAATATGCTTTTAACCTCATATTTTATAAAGATTCCTGTCTTTACTATGAGCTTATTTTTATTATCGCTGGATATTCAAGGGAAGATTTCATCTTTCAGTTTTCTAGATTTGTTTGGCTAAATAACCTTTGGGAGAATGTAATCTTCCCCCCAACCCCTCAGTTTTCTGGTTTACATAAAAGCATTGACAGAAAAAGATTTTTTTTGTATGTATGTTTTTAAAAGAAGAATTGTGTGTGTGTGTGTGTGTGTGTGTGTGTGTGTGTGTACAATCACTGTAGTAACAGAGGAAATGTTACTATGAAGTGTCTCCTTGACAGCTGAAGTCTGGTGCACAAACATTTTTACATGCTCTACATACATACACAAAGCCACAGTTGCATCAACCTAAGCTCTTAGCTTCCCAACAAGCTGGCTCTAGTGAGCTTAGTAGGTATGAGACAGGCAACTGCAGTGTGCAAGGGCCCTCATTTGGAGGACCCTTTCTGTGCGTTGATTCATTTTTGAAAATTACACTGTATTAGCAGTCACTGCTTCTAGGTTGAAAAAATTGTGTGTGGGGGTGGGTGGTGGGGTGGTGGTGGGTGGGGGAACTCCACTGAGACTTTTGTTAGCACTAATATCTGAAGAGACTTCACAAGGTTTAGAGACTGTCTTGAAAACGGGAAGAGGTGACCTCAGACGTGGTTTCTCTGAGCTTAGTGTAGCGTGAAGTTATGCCTCCTCTGAGGATGTCTTCCCCGCTGGCTGCTGTGTGGCTTGTAGTAACTTAGCCGTGTTTCCTGTAGGTTTAACACCTCTTTCTGATTTTCAACTCACCCTTGTCCACTGTGTGCTTAGAATCCAGAGGAATCCTCCGCTACAGCTCTCTCCTCTAAGGCCATCCCAGGCTCTTAACCTAGAGGCAGCCAGCATGCTACTATTTTCTCTTGTTGCTATAGGTTGGCATGAATTAGGAGTTTTGGGGTGAAAGTCTTGTCTTCCTAGAGAATCTCCCCCCCACAATCAGAGGGCACATGACAGAGGAGTAAGGACCTGAGCTCCGGTTTCCTGGGTGATGAGAGCAGAGTGTTCAGGCCTGGTTTAGAGTCCTGTCCTGTTGTCCCCTTCACTGTCCCTCACAGTGTAGTGACTACAGTGAGACAAAGTCCTATTTCTCTTTGCATCTTGCTTCTGAGGCAAGATGGAAACCGGATTTATTCTCTGTATAGTGCCGCAGGGTGGGCATTGTTTCTTTTCTGGTTGTGATAGGCATCAATAGAGCCAAGTAGTGCTCTACCCTTGTGCACATTTCCTAACCTGAATACAGTTAAACACATCACAGGTATTTGCCGACTGAACACCTTAGTCAGGTGAAGTGAGTCTGGCCCTGTTCCTTCCTTTAGCTGGGGACCCATCTCCCCAGGGAACCCCTTCAGTCACTGTGATGTGTTGATAATGTCTCTTCCAAGCCCTTCCTGTATCACATTCTCTTATGTTTTGTCTAGGCAACCAAGAATCCCTTCTACCTCCATGTAGGAATGGACATTCTGCAGAGTCTGGAAAAATACACAAAAGTCAAGTCAGTGTTCTAAACTTTTTTTTATCATTTGGATGCTTGCGATTGACTGAGAGTTCTAGAGAAATGCTGTTTCCAATAATTAAATTTAGTTATGTATATTTATATTTTTATTTATGTATTTTATGCGTATGAACGTTTCATCTGTTCATATGTGTGTACCATATATATCCTGGTGTCCTTGGAGGCCAGAGAGGGCTTCAGATCCCCTGTGACTGGGTTACAGATGCTTATGAGCTGCCATGTGGGTGCTGGGAATTGAACTTGGGTCTTGGAAGAGCAGCTAGTGCTCTTAACCCCTAAGCCTTTTCTTTGTCCACCCCCCAAGGTTTTTGTTTGTTTCTTTTCTAATATTTTAATTATGTCTGCCAGTGTGTGTCTGTGTGGAGAGTTAGAGTTGGTTGTAAGCTGCCCGCTGTGGGTGCTGGGAACCAAACTGAGGTCCTCAGCAAGAGTACTGCATGCCCTTAACCTGTGAGCTGCCTCTAGTCCCATAGTTATTCTTTATGTCCTACCCCTCCCCATGTAAAATTTCAGCAAACTGTTCTTTGTGAGAAGTTTGTTTTCATGCCAGTAATTCAGTAAAGCACTTAACCAGCATGGAAGATATTAAGAGTGGAAGATTCTTGTGATCTATAACTATAGGTCACCATGGTAAACACTGAAGTACCCATGCTTAGTATCTTTTCAGTTTGTTACGTGTATACACATGCACATATATAAAAACATACTTGTATTTTGTGGCCTGCTTTTTTGTGTATTACCCAGAAGTATATGCTAGAAAATAATGTTTTAGGATATGCCCATAATAATCCATTTCCACAAATTCTGAGGTGAACAATTTAAATCAGTCCTTCTAAATTTATTTCCGGTCATTCTTATGATGCCATGTTTGATTTTTGGTAAACACCGTCCAGTGTCTCTGTTCCTAGCTTGGAGCTAACTTGATGAGAAGCAATGAAGCATGCTTTAAAGTAAATCTGCAAACAGTTCATGCTTAAAACAGAAAAAAGAAGAGGGAAAGAACAGCCCTTCAACCTAACATGGTTATTTCTTATGTTGTGTGGGGGAAATAGGTTGGTTCTCTTGATAATAGAATATTCTGGCAGGTAATGAGCACAAGGGAAGGAGCCTGAAGCCGGGCTAACTGGACTCTTATTTTGTAGATGTGGGTATGCCACGCTCCATCACGTCATAGACAAGTCTAAAGAGGACCGGATGGAGAGCTTCTTTCTCAGTGAGACCTGTAAATACTTGTATCTGGTACGTGTGTTGCAAGATTAACCAGAGGTATTTAGTACTGTGGAGAGCAAACATTTGTGCAGTCTTCTGTCAGACAAATATTTACTGGTCACTGCTGTGTGCTGGATATTGTACATTTCCAGAATTACAAGCCTGGTCAGGACAAAAGGATATTACTATTTTCCTTCATGGTTGTCAACCTCCTGGAAAAGTTATTTGTCCTGTAAACAGAAATGAGCTCATTGTTAGGAACTGTGGGAAGTGCTGGTAAGGACTGATAGAAAGTCAGCTTTATGGTGGTGTTCTGGAGACTTCTGTGAGGAGGAAAGCAGTGTTTACTTACTTATATTTCCCCTGGCCTATTGGACATTAAACTCAGAGCTTTGTGCAAGCCAGCCAGGCATTTTGCCACTGAGCTACACTCCCAATCTGGGAGTGGTGTTTCTAGCTCTTGACATGTGGTGCTGTCTCAGACTTAACAGCAGAACTGCTTCCTGGTCCCCATGTATATCTTCAGGCATGGCTTTGTGTACGTGGGGAGGGGAGAACGTCTGGGCCTGGCAGAGACCTTGGGATTATTTAGTTAAACACTTCATTCTACTCTTTTGGGAACTACAGCATACACTGAGAGGTCAGCTAACTTGACTAAGGTCTTAGGGTGACCACAAAGCTGAATGAGGCTTGAACCATGTCTAGTGCTCTTTGAGCTTCTGCATTCTCTCACAGACGTGTGTAGCGCCTGTATTCTTCTGTGTGTGTAATCTCTCTTCTATCATAGCTACATACAGATAACACTTGAAAGGTGCAGAGTGTTTGGAGATTGGGCAGTCCCAGTAATAAGAGGTTGTGTCCCATAGTTCACTGGTCCTCAGACCTGGGGCTAGCTAGGTAGGAATGACTCTGGGGTCCGTTTTAGTTTTAGTCTTTGAGAAGAACAGCCTTGAGAACTTGATTTTGATAAAAGCCTGCACTGGTAATGTGCAAAGCTAAATTTTGGATAAGGTGATGGTGAAGTCTGTGTTTTCTTCTCTGGCATTTCTGCTTATGGTCTGAGGTATAAGATAGTTAGTTCTAGGATGAAGGTGTGAAGATTCTAGGGAGAGATGTGAAAATTATCTGGGAAACCTTATAGACTGCCTATGCTTGGATCCTGGCCTGGGGTTTCTGATTATGTGGTTCTCCACAGGGAGTGAGGATTGGGGCACATCCAGGCCTCCAAATTTAAACAAAATAAATCCTGCATTGCAGCCCTGGTCTGGGATTCAGAGCTGTTAACTGATTGATGCCTTTTAATCCAGTTTTGTTCCTCCAGAAGCTCAGAGCCCTTTCTCCAGTTACCAGTTGTAGGTTTATCCTTAAGGTTTGTGCTGGGGATTGACTCCAGGAGCTGGGTGTGCTCTCTAAGGACTTAGAGCCATATTCCAGCTCTAGTCCTTGCCTGTCCTGTTCTGTCTTGTACCCCCCTCCCTCCTCCTCCTTCCCTCTTCCTCTCTCTCTTTTGTCCTCCCTCCCCCTTCTTCCTTCCCTCGCTCTTTTCATTCCACTACCATGTCTGGCCTGAAACTCACTGTGTAGACCAGGCTGGCGTCAGACTCTTAGAGATCTACCTGGCTGTGCCTCCTGAGTGCTGGGATTAAATGTATATGCCACTATGCCAGGCTAATGCCAGTTTTCTTACTGCTTCTTTTTCTCTGTGTCTAGCTGTTTGATGAAGAAAATCCAGTACACAAATCTGGAACGAGATACATGTTTACAACAGAGGGCCACATCATATCTGTGGACAAACGTCTTCGGGAATTGCCTTGGAAGGAGTTCTTCTCTGAAGATGGGGAGCGGGACCAAGAGGAGAAGTTTGAACACAGGCCTAAGTCTCAGGAACTTAGAATCATTAACTCCAGTTCTAATGTAAGTTGCTCTTTCCACTGCATATGGAAAAAAAAATATTAGCCCTTTTGGCATTCAGAGTTTTGATATGAAATAGATGACACACTCAGATTATGTAATTTGACAAGAGTTCATAAAGGGACCATTTACACAGATGGCACTAGGATGTAGAGAAACGGGGAGGGACCAGCAGTATAGGCATCAGTCCTGGCTGCAGGGCAGGTAGAGAATGGTACAGCATCCTGGAAAAGTAGTCGTAAGAGGAGAGGCCACTGGCAGGTTGTGCTACTTAGATTTGGCTTCAGTGATATTTGGGAAGGAAACAAGCAGTATCAACACGGGATCCCTCCCTCATCTCTTCATCTGATACCTCTGGAGTGGGGTGTTGTAATTGTTGTGTTTTGATGCAAGGTCTCAGTTACAGGCACAAGCTGCCTTTGGACTGTGTAATGGAGGTTGGCCTTGAACCCCTGGTTCTCCTGCCAGTAACTCCCATGTAGAATTACAGATGTGTGTCACTGTGCCTGACTCTTGCTGTTCAATTACTGGTGCTCCTTCTTGACTGCTTCCACCTGAACCCAGAGGGCAAGGAAGAGTGTCGCTGTAGTCCATCAGAATACACTTCTTCAGGCCAGACCGGTGCAGAGGATGAGGAGAGGTTCACAGGGAAGACTTCGGGAGGGCTACCTACTCCCACCAGTAGGACAGGGAAAGTAGTCACTCCTTTTTAAGTCATCTTTTTGTTGTTGTTTAGTGTTTTGAGACAGGGTCTCATGTAACCTTGACTGACTTAAAACTTGCTGTGTAGTTAAGTCCAGTCATTTGGTCAGGGACATTGGCAATGTCTGGAGTCATTTTTGGTGCAACTGGAGGCAGAAAGTTATTGCTGGCCCCTTAGGTAGGAAAGGGCAGGGATGCTGTTCTGTTCACTGCCCTCCAGTGCACATACTACCTTCCCATAATGAAGAGGCTGTGTCTCAAGATGTCACTCACCATGGATGCGTGTTTCCTGGGTTTCTAATTCATTTCTCACAACTCACAACATCATTTTTGTCTTTCCAGTGCAATCGTGTTCCTGACGAGAGGAGATATTCCCTGCCCTTAAAGAGCATCTACATGCGCCAGATTGACCAGATGGTTGGCTTGATTTGACCTGCTCACCTAAGTGTGGCCAGACCTTAAACCAAACCCAAGCATACCAAAATCTCCTCTGAGATGAAAGGGGTGGAGTCTGTCCGTCTGTGATGCTGTAGAAGTTTCTGTCCAGCTCTTACCTCTGCTTGATTCTTACACTTAGTGTTTCCTTTCTCTTTAATAAAATATCCTATTTTTCTGAAGGCTACAATTAGAAATGGGAAGCTATGAGGGAGCTTCTTGTGATATGCTGATGTTTTTAAGCACAATGGATATGACCTCTTTGGATTGTTCTTCGCAACTTCACGCATAGAATGCCTATCTCCTCGCTCTCCCTCCACTTGCTGTGCTGAAGTATTGCTACCTCTCTGTTAGAGGATTGGGGATGCAATCCTGTGCAAAGGTCCTGAGGTTTACTTGGCATCACTACTTACTGCAATGAAAGTGTCATCTTTTCTCTCCTGGGTTCATCGTGCTGTCCCCAAGATAGCCAGCTGTGATTTTGGATCACATGGGGGGGATTCACCCGGTTTATTTATACAGTGTTAACTTGTTTTAGTGTAATGGTCTAGCCAGAAATCTGACAGGTAGCCTCTGAAGTTAGATTGGAATCTACGAGCTTAACTAACAGATCTTTTGAGCTGTAATTTGCATTTATTTTCAACATCAGCTTACCTGAAGAACTCCTGTGGTTCCAGAACCAGGTGCCTTCTAGGGAGACGAAAACCTTAGGATTGTGTGAGCTTCCATCTCTCGTGTTTCATAACCAAGGATGCTCAATGCTGACTATCTTTGGGTTAGACTTCTGTTCTTGTTGGTTTATGTGTAGTGCCAATTAGCTAATCAGGGACAAAGAAATGATCAGATGACTTTCTGATATCCTTGAGCCATTTCTCTATTCGATACAGGCTTTAGATTAGTGCCTTATGGGTTTTGTTCGGGCCATTGGCTGTCACAGCCACTGTGGTGCCTGTAGGCAGCTTGTTTTGTATTGCCATATGATGGGACCAATAAAGGACAGGGCGAGTATGAGGAAGATTCCTGGAAATCAGTTTGTCAGTCTTTGCCTTTTCAACCTGTGATTGTAGCCAGGCCTAAAAGAGGAAATTACGAGAAAATACCTTTTGTTGTTTCTTTAGCTGAAATAGAAAGCTCTCTGAATTTACACAGACTGTTCCTAAAGAGCAGAGCTGGGCCTGACCCCTGACCTGGCCTTCTTGCATTGTGACATGTCGGAAGGCATCCTAGACAAAGTGTGGGCAATCTATTAGAAAGCTCACGTATCTTGTGTCTTCCCTGTGTACTGTGTATACACTTAAAATTAGTTCATTCCAGTGTCCTATAGCCAGGAAAAAAGCCTTTGAGCCATTTGATTTTAGTCAAAAGGGAGAAATTGTATTCTTTCTTCAAAATGTGTTACCATTTTGAAAATAGATGTGTCATTCAGTTCCTTGGCATTTTTAGAATGGGGTTTTCAGTAGTGAATGTGTCACCTTTTAAACGCTTACTATGCAATTGGTTTTATTTATTTGTTATATTAAATGCTTCTGCTTCCTTTTGATTTCACAAACATTGTTCTGTGTGTCAACAGTGTCTCATCTGCTGTATAGAAAGCTTTCTTTGAGAAAATGATCTATCTTACATGTTTTTGTTAACTTAGTAAAAATGTTAAACATAGGCTTGCATAGGCATGCGTGCATGTATGTGTATGTGTGTGCATGTGTGTACCCCTTTTTATCTTTGCTCCAGGCAAAAATCACATGTGACTAAATGATCCACTAAGGACACTGAAGCTCTATCAGGGAAGGAAGTCATTCTTCATGCTTCTTTACCATGCTCTCCATGTCTTTGGTTTGTGACAACAGTAGGGTTTGTCAGCACCCAACAGTCCTCTCTCACTGGGCTTTTCACCTATCGCTCTTGAGTGGGCTTGGGCTGTTTCTTCTCCCTGTGCTCTTGGACTATGATCTGTGTCTGGAACTAAGTACCATGGTGCCTTGAGTGATATCAGTGGGTCTCAGGGGTACAGGCAGACATGCAGTGTATTTTATTGAGTCTCAAACCCTCTTGACTTTTGGGTACTGGACTTTTCACCTGTTGAAAAGGCTGGGGGTAAGTCAGATAATGCCTATAAATCCTAGTTACTGAGCTTCTGGACTGCTCAGGCCACAGTCAGTGATTTGTGGGGCCAGATGAAGAACACTGGTGCCAGTCATATAAAGAACATTATTTGAGTCAAGTTCAGAGCTGACTTACTTGCTTTCTGAAACATCAAAATGTCAGCAACTATGATGTACATCTTGCAGTATGTTTGCTATTCCCTTCTGGTCTGTGTGCTGAAATATGGGTAGAAATTCTCTCATTCTCTGCTTTGTTCCAGGAATACCTGGACTGTGAACAGATAGCTTTGCAGATGTTTGCAACGTCTGTAGAGCTGGACCATGCATGTTCAAAGTGTATCAGGCTGGCTTATAGTTAGGTATGGAGGAGTCCAGTTCTCCTACAACCAACAGACTTGCCTTAGCTGCAATAAATACTGTGACAGAGGAATTCCTCCTAGAAGTGGGTGACAAAGGAATGTTTGGTGGCTCTGATTGCTTTGATCGTTGAGAAAAAACAGGTTTGTTTTCCAAAGCTTCCCTTTAAATTCTTCCTGATCTGCTAGAACTCGCTTTTTGTAACTGAATTTCTAGTTCTGATGATGTCTGGGCTTTTCTGACCTTGGATTTTGGCCTCTGCGCATGATATTCAAATAGTTTTTTGTGTGTTGAAGGGAAAACACATAAGGGTAATGCCTGTGCAGGTGAGTGTCAGGGAATCCATATTTTACTGGTCAGATTAATGCAGTTGTCTCCATGCTGTCTCCTCTTTCCTCTCACCCCTGTGGAAGAAAAATATCCCACTTAGTCATCTCCTTCTCAGCTGGGTGAATGAGTGTCCACTGTAGTTCTTCAATCTGGGTCTTGTAGACTCTCCATCAGACATCCCTTTCCTTCAGGGCACTGAGGTCTTGTTCTCTTGGCATGCACACATTTAGTGCTGGTCAGAGGCTAGGCCTGAGTGATCACCTCAGTCACAGAGTGGCTGAGCAGGGACTTGAGAAGAAGGTGCTGATCTTTGCTCTTCCGCTCCAGCTGTCCAGCACCTACTCTAGTGCCTCTTCCCTGCGGGGCAGGGACTCCTTGTGAATTGGAGAAGGTGATGTGTGTGGGCTGTGTGGCCCCAATTCACCGGGGTTCAGGGTTATGGTCCCCCTTGAATTTGGATGTGAATCTCCTAAAGATGTCAAGTACCTGTGAAACCCACCTTCACTACTTCCCTCTTTCTGAGAGGAGGACAAATAAGATTTTTAAGGTGTTTGGTTTTAGTGTTAAATAGAAAAACATAAGCTGCATACAGCTTTATTTATTACATACATGAATAGTAAATCTGTTTTTGCAAAACAAAACAAAAAAAAAACTAGAGTTGGAAACTCTGGGATAACTTACCGAGATGCACAGATACTTCTCTCTCTCTCTCTCTCTGTGATGTGCAATATGCTTGGTGACCATAGATGATACTTCATGTTTAATCTGTAAATAAGAAATGTATTTAAATATAATGGGAGATTTTTGTAAAAGGACCAAATGTTCTTTTATAAATGTACTAAGGAATATCTTGCTCTTTGAAATTTATTAGAATTTTTATGAATAATTTTTATTAAAAGATTCTTTTTTGAGTTGTCACTGTGTTTCTCCGTTGACTATTTGTATATATTCATTTTGTGCAGGAAAGGGGGAAAATAAAAAATGATAAACTTTGAGGACTAAACACTTAGGTTTTTTGTTTTGTTTTCCTTGGCAGCTAAGCTTTGAGAGATTTCTCTCTAGTTGTCTGTCACAGCTTTATGTTGAATAATGTCCTTCACGGTGGACAAGCCCCTCCTACTACGTTCCCCTCCAGTGGTTCCGTCTCAGTCTTGTTGCTAGATACCTGTGTTCTGGAACCTGTTCTCTGTTGTCCTAAGCAAGGCACCTCGTATCTTCCTCAGTGGTTAAGGTGGGGTAGCGAGTGGTGCTCCGCAGTGAGGGCGCACATCTGTAATCCTCACTCCCCACAGGCTAGCCTGGGCTACCTATCTATAAAACCAACAGGATCTCCTTGCTGGTGATGTAGGGAATACTGTCCTTGGAAAACTTGAAGTGCTTATAGAGCTCTGCCCTCCCCCATTGCTCTGCTTTCTCAGGATCTAGTGGTAAAGTTAGCAGATCATTTTTTGTGGCGTTTCGGTGTCCCATCTAAGGGCCATAGGCAATTCTGATAAAACTGAGGAACGAGCAGTGCCATAAGGTTCAGGAGAGAGCCCTAAGATGGGAAGTGTTTGCTTTTATGAAAGACCTTGAGCTTCACCAGACCTTCAGCAATTAAGAGCGCTTTGACTTCCAGGGGACTGGGGTTGGGTTCATAGTGTCCTTATCAGGTGGCTCACACCCTCCTGTGTCTTCAGTGTGAGGGGATCTGACACCCTTTTCTGGCCTCCCTGGGCACCTACACAAATGTGTACATGAACACATGTGCACTCACACGCTCAAGTACACAAAATCTTTTTTTTTTTTAAGTATCTTTATAAGGTATTCTGGCTGTGTTTGTGAAGTGCCGTGGGTTTTGTAACATCCTTATAAAACCATACTGCTTCAAGTTCACCGACACAACAAATGAAAAAACATGAACTGGTGTCTATCCAATTTTCCCAAGGTTCCTTGCTTCCATAATTGTGAGCGTACAACCTTGGCCCGCCAGTACTGAGTGATATGGAGCAGTTGTTTGTGGGATGGAGCCTCAGGGTTGAGAGCCAGGGACTGTAGGTCCTAGGTTTGCACTGTCTCCAGCAAGTTAAGATTATTTTTACTATTTTTAATTATGGGTACATGTGTGGATCCGTCCATATGAGTGTAGGCACCTTTGAAGGCCAGAAGCTGCAGATTCTCCCAGTGCTGGGGATCTGTGCAGCTGTGAGCAGTCCAATGTTGGTGCTACATTATGTTGCTCAAGCTGCTCTTGAACTTGATCAGAAATCAGTTGATCCCACCTCTGCTAGGATTAAAGAAGTCATGTACCACCATACCTGGTTGTGACACATTCTTTTTTTTTTTCTTTAATTCTACAGTTTCACACACAGTTCTTTGGCCAGTTATCCCCCTTTACCCTCCCATTATCCCTTTACTGTCCCATCAAACCTTCCCAAGCCCTACTTCTACTTTGGGGTGTGTGTGTGTGTGTGTGTGTGTGTGTGAGAGTTTACTCAGGGTTGCTTTCATGAACATGGATGAGGAACTGTATATTGATACAGTAGCTACATCACTGGGAAATACAGCTTCCTTACCCAGCACCATTAACTCCCAGGGGAGGGTGTGTGGATGGGGCCCAGTCTTGTACAGGTCTCCGCTGCTGTTGCTATGAGTTCATGTGTGTAATAGCTATGCCATGTCCAGAAGGTGACTTCTCAGCACCCCTTCCCATCCTGCTCTTCCGCTGTTTCCCAAGCCTTTCTTAGGAGGGAGGGTGTGGGGGCGTTGATGCCCCATGTAGGGCTGAACAGTCTGGGTGGCTTCAATTTTCCTGTCATGTGGAGGAGTTTAAGTACATAGTGTGGTGGTGAGGACTGGAGCAGATTGGCTTGTGTGAAATACAGCACCTGGAATGTGGAAGGTACCTGTGCTTCCTGTGACAAAGGTGAGGTGTATTGGTTTCCCAGAATAGGTCTTTGTGTATATATTTTTTTAATCTTATATTTATGTGTGTGCTGGGAGTAGGGTTGTATGCGTGGAAATCAGAGGACAACTTGTGACTTGTGAGAGTTGTTCTCCCACTAGGTGGGTCCTAGGGGTTGAAGTCAGGCTTGGTGGCAAGTGCCTTTACCCACTGAGCCATCTTATAGAAGTGTGTGTGTGGTCCTGGGTTAAACCCAGAACTTTAAGTAGGTAGTCTATCACTGAGCCATCTAAAGTTTATATTTGTATTTTTGAAATCCTCCTGCCTCATTCTCCCAAGTACTTGAGGCTGAGGTGTGCACTATCATACCTGACCTCAGCAGGAGAGGTGTGGGCTAACTCAGAGAGGCTGGGTTGGAGATTCCATTTTGTCCCTCTGAGTGTGTGACTTAGTTGTCACCCTCACGTAGTGTCTTTTTCATAGCACCTTTATTCCCAGGGTTCTCATGAGGGCAGAGTGCACCACAACTCCATTTTGTCAGAATGTGCTAGTGGCAGAATCTAGCATCTTTACTTGTGTTATGTAGTCAGGGAAGTACACTATTCTGTCTTAGGTCATGAGGCCTGAGTGCCCTGATGCCACACCAGTCTTTAAGGGACCCACCTGTCATATGTCGCTTGCACATAGGTTAGCAGCCTTACCATACACACCTCAGCAATGGAGGTAAGTTCTATTTCTGTGTCTACGCCTGAATACACTGGGAAAATAGTCAACAGTTTGGGCCAATGACCTCGAGTTCTTTTGGGAACCATTGTTAATTGTCTGTAGTTTCAGGAAAGATGGATGTTCCCAGAGAACACAGCACATGTCTCGTCCCAGGGACACCTTCCCAGAGGGTCAGGAGAAGGGTTGGTCTGACAGACCTGCTCTTGGCTTCAGGAACTTAAGTACCGGGTGCTGGGGTCCTAGATGCAGCAGGGAATAAAGACCTTTTCACCTCAACTTGGAGTATTCTGTGTGACTTTGTGGGGGTGGGAAGAGTTTCCTTTGGGGGTTGGCACTGGCTCAGCACACAGAAAAGCCTACTTTGAAGAGATTCCTCAAATACCACCTTTGCAAATTGGACTTTCTTTGCCTGGGATATTTTGAAGCTTAGCTTTGGGGGACCTGGTCTGGCTGCGGTGACTGATCAGGTTCCTACAGAACATGGCCTGACAGATTGAAGGTCTGCTTGTGAAAGGATTTTCTTTTTGTTTGTTTTGTTCTAGGGACCAGCTTCTGTTGTTCAAAAACCCATCTGGATGATACTATTATTTTTTTAACAAACGTTGGTGTTAATTTTTTAAATTAATTTTACATACCAACCTCAGTTTCCCCTCCCTCATCTCCTCTTTTTCCCTCCTCTACCTCTTTTCTATGCCCCCACATCCACTTCCCAGATAGGGTAAGGCCTCCCATGGAAGTCAACAAACCTTGGCATATCAAGTTGAGGCACGACCAAGCTGCTCCCCCCTGCATCAAGGCTGAACAAGGCATCCCATCATAGGGAGTAGGTTCCAAAGAGCCAACTCATGCACCAGGGACAGGTCCTGGTCCTACTGCTGGGGCCCCACAAACAGAGCAAGCTACACAACTGTTATCCACATGCAAAGGGCTTAGGTTGGTCCCATGAAGGCTCCCTAGCTGTACATCTAAAGACCATGAGCTCCCATGAGTCAGCTATCTCTGTGGGCTTCGCCATCATATTCTCCACCACCCCCTTGCTCAGGTGATCCCTTCTCCCTCTCTTAACTAAACTCCCAGAGCTCCGCCCAGTGCTTGCCTGTGGATCTCTGCATCTGCTTCCATCAGTTACTGAGTGAAGGTTCTATGATGCCAGGATAGTCACCAATCTGATTACAGGAGAAGGCCAATTCAGACACCCTCTCCTAGGTGTCTTAGCTGGGGTCATCCTTATGAATCCCTGGGAGTGTCCCTGGTATCAGGTTTCTCCCTAACCCCATAATGTTTCCCTCTATCAAGATATCTTTTGTTGACCTTCTCTGTCCCTCCCTTAACTTGGCCAACCTGATCCTTCATGTTCCCCTCCCCTCCTACACCCCTACCTCCATCCTCCGTGCCCAGTTTACCCAGGAGACTTCATCTGTTTCACATCCCAGGGTGATTCATGCCTCCCTCTTAGGATCCTCCTTGTTACCTAGCTTCTCTAGGGCTGTGGATTGTAGACTGGCTATCTTTTGTTTTGCATCTAATATCCACTTATAATTGAGTACATATGGTGTTTGTTTTTCTGGGTCTGGGTTGCCTCACTCAGGATGATTTTTTTCTAGTTTCATTCCTTTGCCTGCAAATCTGATGATGTCATTGTTTTTTTACTGCTGAGTAATACTCCATTGTATACATATACCACATTTTCTTTATCCATTCTGTGGTTGATGGGCATCTATCTAGGTTGTTTCCAGGTACTGACTATTACAAATAATGCTGCTATGAACATAGCTGAGTAAATGTCCTTGTGGTATGATTAGGCATCCTTTTGGTATATGCCCAAGAGTGCTGTTGCTGGGTCTGGAGGTAGATTGGTTACCAATTTTCTGAGAAACTACCATACTGATTTCCAAAGTGACTGTACAAATTTGCACTCCCACCAGCTAATGAAGGAGTGGTCCCCTGACTCCTTGTGGCTTCCAAGGGTCCTCATATGCCCTGTCTCGCCCTGTACAGAAAATTCTATCCATTTTCTGTCCTTTGGATGTAAGACATTGGATGATAACAAGGCATTGTTTGCCAAAGTAAAAAGGAAAACAGCCCAAACAAAACAACAACAAAAACATCACAAAACAAAAAGGAAAATTACCCCACTGCACATCAAAAATCAACAATTAATCTACTTTGGAATGTTACAGAATAAAGAGCGAGTAGCAATTCATTTATCTGTTGTTCACAATCCACCTGAACTAAATCCATTGCTTAGAGATACAAAATTAAATAGATCATAAGTGACATAATTTTCCTAAAAATCAGCATAAAGATG